CCCAGGCAGTTAGGACCCCACCCTGTGAATTTCCAAGAGTGGGAGGTGTGACAGGACACCGTTTAACCCCTGATAGTTGTGGGGGACTGTGGGAGTCCTGCTCCCACTTTTTGAAGGGTGCTTAGGTGGAGGAGAAGAATAAGAAAATATCAGATAGAAAGAAATACCTAAACAATGAGAAGAAAGAAAGACACAGGAGAGCTTCAGGAGGGTCTGGGTCAATACCCAACAGCCCCTTCATTTATTCAAAGGGGCTTTTTATAATATGCCAAGGGGAGAGGCAAAAGATCTCCTCCTTGCAAGATCAAAGCACACTGTACAGCCAAGTGTAGACCCTTCAAAACACCTGGTAAACACGCCTATGGCCAAATTATCTTCTTACTCAGCCCTGCTGGGTAAAATAAGCTCAGATTCTCTGACCCAGAGTAAGGTCTCACTAGATAGCCTCTGTGGGTCTCCACAGATAGCCCAGTTACATGCAAGGTTTTCCCTGGGAAGAATGTGATCCTGATCTGAAGGTGGAATCATCATCTCCCAGATCATTCCACAGGGCACCTTTCCGAAGGCAAGGCTGCAGGTTTGGCAGGTTGGTAGGGCCAGGAAGCCTGCCTAACTTCACCTGTGATGGTGTGTGGGGTTGGCCCTTTGGGAGATGAGAAAGTCAGAACTAATCACAAGAGTGGAAGCCACATGATGAGATTAGCATCTTTCTAAAAAGAGGAAGAGAAGAGAGCTTCAGGCTAGCAGGAGCAGCTCAGTGATGCCTCTGTACAACCAGGGTTCTTTTCAAAGACTCCACTCAGGTGAAGCTGCATCCTGACCTCCACAGCAGAAAGGAATTTGAAGAAGAGTCCACGTGAAACAAAGTTGCTTTGGGCATGATCATGCCTTTAATGGGATGCACATGAGACCTTGCCCCCCCCCCATAAACCAAACCAAACAAACAAACAAACACCAAAAAGAAAGTTGGGTTTATTAAGAAAGGGTTATAGTACAGATTTAAATACCAATATTAAGCCATTCTCTCTCTAGCTGGGCATAGTAGCCCATACATTTAATCCCAGCACTTGGGGGGCAGAGGCAGGCAGATCTCTGTAAGTTCGAGGCCAGTCTGGTCTGCAGAGTTAGTTCTAGGACAGCCAAGGAGGTTACAGGTTGCCCTAGAACCTGTCTTGAAACCCTGTCTTTAAAAACAAACAACAACAAAAAAAAAAAAAAGAAAAAGAAAAAGAAAAAATGAAGAAGGGAATTCTAAATGGGTTTGGCTTTTCCAGGAACAAGGTTTACTCCCCCTTTCTGTCTTCATGTGGGCTTTTCCAGATCCATGATGATAGACGTAGGCATTCTACAAAGCTAGCAGTCATCTCCGTAGGCCAAGCCCTTTGCCATGTTTATCCTGGCTAGTTTGGGTTTATTAAAGTGGTCTTGCTATGACACAGCCTTTTGACTGCATCAGTCCCATGTACCTTGAAGTTCATGGATATACTAGGCCCTCACCAGGAATGACTCTATCAGCACTTTGATCCTGGACTTATAGCCTTGGAAATAGGGAAAGGATTTCTAGTGGCTAAGACGCTCCATCAAGCTGTGTTCTGTGATAGCAACTTCAACTGCACACTTGGTGTTATGCCCAGATCATGGGGACCCCCAAAAGACCACCACACAGAGAACAAATCCCACATGTAAAAGCAAAGAGCCTTTATTTCAAGCTCCAGAGCTTGGTCCCTCTGTCTGTTTGACACAGCGGTGAGAGCAGAGAGCCCTGAGCTCAGGTGGGGCAGAGTTTTTATCATAGCAGAGGTTGGGGTGAGATCCCTGAGTGGTATCAGCTTAAGGCTTTTCCTGGATCTTGGTGTTGCCTGCCAGTAAGCCGGTCACAGAAGCTGTGTCTAGGCCCCTAAGCCTGTCATGGCTGCTGTGTGGTCAAGCTGTTTTGGGGCCCCTTCACAGTTGGAACTTCTGGCCAAACACAAGGCCAGAGCATTAATTATTCTACTGAAGAGAAACTGCAACGACGACCCTTATGCTGATTTAGGAAACCTCCCAGTGGCTAGGAGACTGTTGCTCAAACAACCCGTGGGAGTGGTGTCCTGATTAGGGCATTTAAATGTGCAAGGGCACAGTGTGCCCAAATCCAATGCATCTCTCCCTCCCTAAATCAGCCACTTAGGCCCCTCCCCCTCACTGGGCAAACTTCCTTTAAATAGTCTCTTTACTGGGCATAGTAGCAGTCAGAGCTCTGTGAGAAGCCAACCCAGACTACATAATGAGTTCTAATCCAGCGAAGTCTATATAATGAAGCCCTGTCACAATGAACAAAAATACAAGGAATTTTCCCTTCACATTCCTATCACATCTTTAGTTCAGGTGAATCAAAACTTGAAGGAAAGACTGGACAGGCAGAGGATGGTCATTAGGGGTTACTGACATGTCCTCATAAAAAGGAGCCAGGCAGTGGTGGTGCATGCCTTTAATCCCCAGCACTCAGGAGGCAGAGGCAGATGGATCTCTGTGAGTTCAAGGCCAGCCTGGGCTACAAAGTGAGTTCCAGGAAAGGTGCAAAGCTACACAGAGAAACCCTGTCTTGAAAAAAAATACCTTACTGGGTTGTTGCAAAGAAAGCTTTTTCTTAAAATATTACTGATCATGTGATACATGATCACTGTATCCAGTGTGTTAGTTCACTGTATTGCTGTGAAGAGACACCATGACCAAGGCAACTTACTTACAGTTTCAGAGGGTGAGCGGCATGGAGTATGGTAGCAGGCAGGCAGGAATGGGGCTGGAGCAGTAGTTGAGCTCTTACATCTTCATTTGTGGTGGCTTGAGTAGGAATGCCCCCCCATAGACTCATGTGTTTGAAGGCTTGGCATGGGGAATGGCACTTTTGGGAGGTGTGGCCTTGCTGGAGGAAGTATGTCACTGTGGGGGTGATGCTCAGGTCAGTTCACTCCCTGGTGCCTGTGGATGAAGATGTAGAACTCTCATCTTCTCCAGCACCATGCCTGCCTGCATGTCGCCATGTTTCCCACCATGATGATAATGGACTAAACCTCTGAAACTGTAAGCTAGCGCCAATTAAATGTTTTATTTTTCTTTTTCTTTCTTTTTTTTTTCCCTCTGGAGCTGAGGATCGAACCCAGGGCCTTGCGCTTGCTAGGCAAGCACTCTACCACTGAGCTAAATCCCCAACCCCAAATGTTTTCTTTTATAAGAGTTGCTGTGGTCATGGTGTTTCTTCAACCCTAACTAAGACATCATCCAAGGATGGAAGGCAGAGAAACACTAGAAAATCACATGGGCTTTTGAAACCTCAAAGCCCACCCTCCATGGTACACCCCCTCCAACAAGGCCACACCTCCTGCTCCTTTCCAAACAGTCCACCAACTCAGAACCAAACATTCAAACAGACGAAGCTATGGGAACCATTTTCATTGAAACCACAATAGACTCCTTAGGTGTGGCCCAGCTGAGATCCTTGGACTCTGGGCATCTGTCCTACATCAGGGACTAGGTATCTAATCCCTTAGGAGCCAAGAAACTGAGAGCAAAGCATCCCCCTCTAGTCTAGCTGTGTTCACAGTAGGGTTTGTACTTCAGGGAACCAGAGTCCTCTGGTGAGGAGCGTCCTGGAGTCCACAGGCCTGGTGGTTGGCTCACTCCTTCCCAGTCCCCACTGCTTTTTTCTCCATATGCATTTGATTTGCCCGGACTAACGGGGTGAAGGAGGCTGGAGGAGACTGCTCCCGAAGTTTGCCCAGAAAGAGAAAGGGCACCGGTGGCGGACTGAGGTGGGGAGGGACGAAGTCAGTTGCAGTGAGGATTCCTTCGACCCCAGGAGCCAAGGGGACAACCTCAAAGGCAGGATGAGAAAGGAACAACGGGGCAGCGGCTGGTGCCGTGGGCACTGTGGAATCTTTTCGCTCCGTAGTCCTTGCCAATGATGTGCAACCTCTGGCCTCTTCTCCTAATCTTCAAAACGGTACTGGTCATTGGTGGCCACAGACACGTGTTCATGGGATGACTTTCCTGGGTTTTTGCAAAGATTTGGTGCCCTTCCCCCACTCCAGGTCTTATGCCTCTTATAGCCGAGATTGTCCCTGGCTTGCTATGTAGCTGAGGATGACCTTAGACTCCTAATCCTCCTGCCTCTTCCTCCCAAATGCTGGGATTATAGGTGTGCACCATCACTCTAGGCAAGATTCAGTGTGGTACATGAAATATGTTCAGCGCATACCAAGTGTGCAGTAAAAGCTATTATCAGCAAGCATTTAATTATTCCGACAATGTACTCCATTTAGTTAACCCAACCAAGCATTCCTTACAATGTGTTTCCTTGTTCTATTCACTTTTTCTGGTGCTAAGATTAAAGCTAGGGCCTTGGTATGCACTCCACTAACTGAGACAAAATCCCCAACTTCCTCTTTCTAAATAGTTCCCTAAGCAATGGGGGTCCTTCCTCCCTCCTCACAGCAAACCTGGTCCCCCAGTACTCTCACTAAGACACTGCACACTGGACATGCTGGCCTCTGCCACCAATCTGTGAACCTGGAATCTGTGACCACAGGAACTCCAAAGTGCTAGATCTGGAGATGGGACACAGGAGAGAGGTTCACTTTCCCAAGGACTGAGAGTACTGCGTGGGGGCTGAAAAAAGGGGAGAGCCGGTGCAGCAGCATGGAGTCTGTCCCCATGAGTGGCTCTGAGGTGGACTTGAGCTTGGAGATAGCTGGGATATTGGGAAGGGACACGTGGCTCAACTCAGAGGCAGCCTTAGGGTTCGCACCAGACCGGGTCCTGGTTCCCCTGTAAGCCTTGTGGCTGGAGGGGTCCTCCTGATCTCTGAGGGTCTTTTAGTCCTGGAGCTCGTGTGGAATGAATGAACCACACTGGGGAGTGTATCCTAGAGGAGATAGCTTGAGGAGAGGTTCCCAATCAGTTCTGCAAAGCCCCTTCCCTGAGGGGCGTGGCCTGCGCTTGACAAGATCTCCAGCCCGCCCCCTCGTCTCGCCGGAGGGACTGGCAAGTAGAGCCAGAGCGAGCGCCTTGGGCAGCCCGGGTCCCTAGACACCACGGCCTGCCCGGCATGGAGGGCGAATGCCGGGTACTCTCCATCCAGAGCCATGTGGTCCGCTGCTACGTGGGCAACCGGGCCGCCATGTTCCCGCTGCAGGTACATGCTCTGCCGCCTACATAACCTGACCCGGCTGCTCAGGTGTGGGGCTGCGGGTTCACGGCGTGGCCTCCCCCAATGATGACCTTGGTCCCCTGCAGCCTTCCTCAGGTCCCCGCTGCGAGCTGGGCGCAATGCGGACAGAGCCTGGCGAGCCTGACGCACGCAGGCTGGGGACGTGGAGTACCCTGGGAAGCCTACAGTAGGGTGGTGCAGGTGGTGCGAAGTCCCCTGCCCAGCTGTGCCCACTCAGTAATCCAGCGGGCCAGTGCTGCTGCTTCCTGCCGCCTGACCAGCCGTGGGTGGGGGCTTCCAGAAGCGATGAAATGCTAAGCTGGGAAGACCCAGCCTCTTGGTAGACATGTTGGCGAGCGATTGCTCACTCCCTGTTGAAATCCAGGATCTGTTTCTACCCACCCTGTGATCCTGGACCAAGGAGGTTGAGTAAGGTCGCAGACAGGTCCGTGCCCTGGAGGCTCAGGCCCACTTTGGGTCTGATCACTCCTGAAGTGGTCTGTCATCCACTGGAATGGGACTTGAACCGCCCTTCACCTCCCACAGACCTCCTTCTATCATAAGAGACAGCACAGTTTGCTGAGTTTGGCTTTGAAAGCAATTCTGTAGAAGGGCTGTAGCCTTCATCTTCCCAAGACTCTCTCACGTGAGGTGGGTAATGAGGCTGGCCCTGATCATTTCTGGGCGGAGGTGCTCCCTGCTTGTGACCCGGTGACCCTAGGAGAGAACCAGGCTGCAGAGGGTATTAGCATGGGGGCCAGAGACAATGTCAGAGTGACTGGCAATTCCTTGCCTGGCCGGTTCAGCAGGAAGATTGGGCTGACCTGGCCAGCTAGGTGGTGGCCTCCTTCACTGTGCCTCTTTGGCTGGTCACTAAGCAAAGTGGCAGGTCCCTTCAGCTCATGTCCAGACGTTGCGCTGACTCTTTGGGGACATTAAGAAGGAGCACCTGGCTACCGAGATCCTTCAGGAAGGATCTGGAAGGAAGACAGGTGGCCCAGAGCAGTTTCTAAGGACAATCTGAGGGCTGTCCTGGGGCGGGGATGCTTGGCAGATGAAACAGGGCAAATGGTTGTAAGTGAACAGTACAGTGTTTGCTGAGTGCTTGAGTCCCTCTTGGTCGATAAGCAATTCTACACACACACACACACACACACACACACACACACACACACACACACACACACATTCACACACATTCTTATTCTACCCAAGATGCACTGGTCTGGTGCTTCATGCTTTTAACCATTGCTCTCTAGGTTATGAGTGGGTAGCAAGGTCACTGCGGTGAGACTGTACTTCGGAGCAAGGGGATACAGTCACTGAAGCAGGGAAGCCGGGGAGGGTGGAGCCAGGCTGAGCTCCAAGAAGCCCCCTCACCTTGGGCAGAGGTGTGCAGGGCTCCTGGGGCCCTGTGTCCTGCGTCCCTTGCCTCTTCCACTTGGTGCTGCTCTTCCTTCCCTGGGTCCTCTGTCCCTGGCTCCCCTGGACCTCTGTCCTCTAGACTGCACCAAGGGTCAGCTGCCTCATTCGGGCTGAAGACATGGTGTCCACCTGCTCAAGAGAGGAGGCTCTTCTTAGCTCCCCTTCAGAGAGGAGCTTAAGGACCTGGGGACTCCCTCGAGGTCCCTGTTGGCATTTTGCTGCTCACCATACCTCTGTGCACCCCTGGGTAGGGAGAAGCAATGAATTGGGTAGGGAGGACACGTCCAACATGGAGAGCTTTAGTGAGCACCTGTGGGGCTGGCCCTGTCAGAGTCTGTGGTGGCTGGGGCCGGCACTACCCAGTCTTTGAGCAGCTGTTCCAAGAGGAACACCCCTCCGGTCCAGAGCTGTTCTCCGTGGAGGCGGGTGTGTGTGTGTGTGTGTGTGTGTGTGTGTGTGTGTGTGTGTGTGTGTGTGTTCTTACTGTACAATCTGGAGTACAAAGTCTCATTGACATGGCTGAATATGGGGGCGAAAAGCTCGAAATGGGGAGAGTGTAGTCTTGGGCTGGGGTCCCGAGATTTGTCCCAGTGCTGCTCCAAGAAGGCCACAGGCAGGAGGCTGGGGAGGCCTCTTGGGACTGACCCAGGTGACTGGAGGTTGTGCCATCAGGTGGCTGTCCAGTTATGCCAGAGCAATGGCTGGGGAAGTTTCTGGGCCTCCCCTGTAGACCTGGCACCAAGCTGTTGATGAGCTGGCACCAGGACCTCAGAGTCCCTTGTGCTGGGCCTGGCTTGTGCCTGTGACTGGGGAGCTGCTTCCAACTTCTGCCATGTGGCACAGACCCACACCCCTGGACCCATCAGCCCTGCCTCCCCAGTGCTCCCTGCAATGTCTTCTGAGCTCCTCCCTCCCTGGTCTCCCTCAGGCAGCTGGGAAAATAATCCTACCAAGAGGCAGCAGAACCTTGTCCCTGTTTTCAGATTTACTTCTGGCCCCAGGCCAGGGTGTGGTGGCCAAATGTTTCATGGGACCAGAGCCAGTAGGAGGTGGGTACCAGGCGGAATAGTTCAAAGTTTGCAGGGCAGAGGGAGGGTAAAGGGAGAGTGGGGCCAGGCTCCTGCTCTCCCTGCTCCTCCCCCAGCCCTTTCTCACTCACCTCTGCAGCAGGGGAGGGCCTGGGAAGCTGGGGGTTTCCTGCTGTTTTGGCTCTAGACTGTGGGGTGAGCAGGGAAGGGCAGGGTGAAGTCCAGTGTGCCCTGTTGCCTGCTCCCACCTACCAGGCACCACCATGTCTTCCCTCCTTGTTTTCTGTGGTGGAGAGGACCGAACCCAGGGCCTTGTGCATGTTTAACACGTGCTCTTCAACTGAGCTGTGCCTCAAGCTCCTCATCCCACCCCCACTTTTTTTTTTTTTTTCCTGAGACAGAGTTTCTCTATGTAGTCCTCGCTATCCTGGAACTCACCCTGTAGACCAGGCTGGCCTTGAATTCAGGGATCCATCTGCCTCTGCCTCCCAAGTGCTGGGATTAAGGATGTGTGCCACAACACTAGGCTCTAATACCCTTGTTAAATGCTGCTGGGGACAGAGTCCAGGGCCTTTCTCACACATGCTGAATGCTCTACAGCCAGCTAAACCTCCAACCTACTTCCTCCTGCAAGAGGCAAGACCCAAGAGTCCATATCCCAAGGTTATGTGTATGTGTGTGCACGTGAGTATGTACATGTGAGCACGCACGTAAGTATTTGCTGTGTGCTTCCTGAGTTCCCTGTGTGTGCAGAGCCTTCTCAGCACATTGACTTGGTAGCTCATGTTCTATATGGGGGTTGAGGGGGGTTATGTAGTTGATCTGCCTTCTGAGAAGATGGTATCCTTCCTTTAGAGCAATCTGAAAATGGCCAAATTTAGGGTCTAGTGAAAGGCTGTAAAGTTGGTGATGTCAAGACATCCCTTTAGAAAGGAAAGGGAGCAGCAGGGACTGGGTCCCAAAGCTGTGCCTAGAGCTGTGGCCTCAAGCTGAGTCTTCTCTGATGGTAGCCACAAGGCTGTGACAGAGGAGCCAGTTCATTGGGTGGAGTGGTAGCAGGCCCAGTGTCATCTGTTGGACCCCAAAGGTTTAGGGTCTCAAGTGGGCGCCCCAAGAACCCAGACTCCAGTCCAGTTGATGCAACAGCACGAGGATTTATTAAGCTTCTATATAGAAGGGCTCCTCTTCTCCCAAGAGCAAGAGTCACAACTTACTGCAGTTCCATAAGGACTTTTAAAGGAAAAACCCACAAAACCCACAAGATTACAATTCCCATGCAATGTCACTTCGATTGATTTATGTCTAGAAGCTAATTCCATAAAATCATTGTCTGAAAAAAAAAAAAAAAAAGGGGCTGGAGAGATGGCTCAGAGGTTAAGAGCACCGACTGCTCTTCCAGAGGTCCTGAGTTCAATTCCCAGCAACCACATGGTGGCTCACAACCATCTGTAATGAGATCTGGTGCCCTCTTCTGGCCTGCAGGCATACATGCAGACAGAACACTGTATACATAATTAATAAATAAAATCTTTAAAAAAAAAAATCATTGTCTGGTTACAGAGTGATCACAGAGGGGGATACAGTTACGTCAGTGTGCACATTTTTCTTGAAACCTCAAGGGGGGTATCAGGGTGGGAGTGGAGTTCGCATACAGGTCACGGTGGTCCTCCCTGGAACATTTGCAACTTTCCCAGTCACAGTTGAGCACACCTCTTAATAGAAATCTCTTTACATTGTTATGTGGTTGCAGGGGAGATTAATGGCTGAGTCAGGTTGCCCTTGGAACTAGATTTTTAGTTTATTTCCTGGTGCTTGAAGTTTCTCTCTTCCTGAGGCTTGGGGGTGTAAGCCTGAAGGGCTAGGGTCTTTCACATCTATCGGTGATCCTGTGGAGTAGCTAACCTGGCTGGCATAGCCACCACAGATATGTCTGACCCCTGTGCTGGCTAGTCACAGTGACACTGTAGCCTCAAAATGCCATCGGGGTAGCGATGGACGTTAGGTATTAACTTAATGAATCTGTGGCTTTGAGAGAATGATCTGGGCCTTTAACTCAAACCCACTGAGATGAGTGCTCTGAAACAGAAAGGCAAGACCACAGAACCCTCCCAAAGTCCCTGGAAAGGAACAGCCCTGTTTGTGGTCTGCAGAAAATGGGTAGAAGCCGGGCAGCGGTGGCACACACCTTTAATACCAGTTCTTGAGAGGCAGAGCCAGGCGGATCTCTGTGAGTTCGAGGCCAGCCTGGTCTATAGAATGAGATCCAGGACAGGCAACAAAACTACACAGAGAAACCCTATCTCAAAAGACCAAAAAGAAAAAAAAAAGAGAGAAAGGAAGGAAGGAAGGAAAGAAGGAAGGAAGAAAGGAAGGAAGGAAGGAAGGAAGGAAGGAAGGCAGAACCAGGAAATGCAAGTGTCTTTTTTTTTTTTTAACTCATGTGAGAATGGCATTCGTCTCTCCTTCATCTGTGAGTCTGGGATGGCATTTCTGTTATTCCTCCCCACCTGCCATGAACATCTTGATCTCATTCCTCTCTGCCGTTGACTGGGTCCATGTCTGTGCATGTGTGACTGTATGGTTGTGGGCATGCGTGCATGGTGTGTGTGTGTGTGTGTGTGTGTGTGTGTGTGTGTGTGTGTATTTCTTAGTATTGCTTTGGCCTCTGAAAGACCCTGGCTTAGGATAACCCCTCCGGTGTCTGGAAAGGGATGACATGTCTGTAGGGCCCTGAGCTTCAGGAAAATGAGACCTGCTGCTATGACACCTCTTGGTACACAATGACACAACTTTTGTCAGAGCTCTGGAGAAGGACTGAGTGAGGTTTCCCCACTAGAAAGGAAAAGGAGGTGTTGAGGAAGGGTCCAACAACGACTTCTGGTGGCTGAGGAGGTGACACCTCCCAGAGAAGCCACCCTGTCCCCATCAGGACCTTGGGCTCATTGTGGGGTCACTAGTTTAGGCATAAGTCTGTTAGCTCTCCAGGAGCCTCCAAGGCCTCTTTATACCCTCCTGTCCTGTCTCCTTACCTGTGATTGTCTCCTGGAAAAACAGTTCCTTGAGTAGCTAAATGAGGACACTGCTGAGACACATGAGACATGGCCCACCCAGGGGCCAGTTGCTGTGAGTGTTGTGAGGTCCCCTGGATGGGAGCCTGCCACCCCCACCCCCTCTGGGGCACAAAGAGGAGTGCATCCTGGGGCAGCGTGCAGGAGGCCCTGTGGTAGAGGGACCGTAGCTCAGAGTAAGGGCCGCTCTGGTGCAGTGGCCCGTAGTGGTGAACACAGGCCACTTTGTGCAACTAACTCTGGAGTCAGGAATGCTGTTTTGGCAACCCCTGGAAGCTCAGCCACTCTTAGCTGTGTGAGCCAGATGTGAGCAGCTGACCAGCTGATGGACAAGGGGGCAGGGCAGTTCCTGACCAGCTTGCATCTCAGTGACCCTCTGGAACCCAGGTGACCCCGTATCTGGGTTACTGAGTCTCAGAGTGACCTGGCAGCAACCGGGCTAACAAGGTCGGCCAGTGGATGCCACCGTGAGCTCAGCACAGGCTCCTTCCTTTCGGACGTCACTGCGGCCCAGCACAGGCAGACCCCTGCAGTAGACATGGCCTTTGGCTATGCCTGCCTAGCCCTGTGATCCTGGCAGTGAGTTCTGTGAGCCAGGCTGGGGGTGGCCACAGGACCTGGAGTGAGCAACCCCTAAAGAGATGTTTTGTGGGATGCAGGCTGTCTGCTGGCAACTCACCATTGTCTTAGTTAGGGTTTCTACTGCTGTGAAGAGACACTGTGACCACAGCAACTCATAGGGAAACCATTGAATTGGGGCTGGCTTACAGTTTCAGAGGTTTAGTGCATTATCATCACGGCGGGACACGGCCGTGTGTAGGCAGACATGGTGCTGGAGAAGGAGCGGGAGTTCCATAACTTGATCTGCAGGCGAAAGGAAGTGAACTGTCCTCCACAGTGGGTGTAGCTTGAGCAAAGGAGACCTCTCAAAGCCCACCCTCACCGGAACACACTTCCTCCAATAAGGCCACACCTACTCCAACAAAGCCACACCTCCTAATAGTGCCACTCTCTTTGGGGGGGGGGGGTGTCAATTTCTTTCAAACCACCACAGCCATGGAAATCAGAGGGTGTGGTCTGGCTGGATTGGAAGGCTGAGCAGTGATCAGTGGTGGGAGGGATGTAGGCCCCTTGGCTGTTAGATTGCTCACGGTCACAACAGCCACAAGATGCTTGCCCGGCCTGCTTGCTGATTCCCATCTGTGAAAGAGGCTTAAGCACCAGCCCCAGGACTGGTTTTCCACAGCTGGACACACCTGTGAGGTTCGGCCTGCCAATCCTGTCTGTCCTTAGAAGCCTGTGGGAGAACCACACTGGAATATTCCAGAGCTCACCCACTCCCGCTGTGCTGAGTGTCTCTGCCTCCCTTGGAGCTAAGCTGAGCTATTCTAAACAAAGCCTCTCCTGGCTACATGGCTTCAGGCTGTGTGTGCCTCTTTGCTGGAGCGCTGATGATGCAGCAGTGGAGGCGGGCATGGGCCCCTGGGATGTGCACCACCTGCTCATGGCAGCCACCCCTGCATCGTACACATCACTGCTGGGGCAGGGTCCTGAGGGTTGCATGAGGGACAGGAAGAGGAGCCCGTGTCTGGCAGCCATGGGCAGCAGGAAGCAGGGAAGGCAAGCTTCATGTTCCTGTTTTGGCTTTCACTTTCCTAGGTGCCGGGAGCACTCATGTGGAGGTGTTGTTGGCCCCAGCAGTGGGAGGGAGAAGTATAGCAACTGTGTCTGGGATGTTCTAACTACCCCAGGGGACATGCAGAGGCTTCTCCACAGGATGGTGCTGTCCAGTTTGCCCGGCGCCTACCCTCATCCATCAGCAGGTCAGGGAGCCCTGTGTTGAGCTGGGCACACAGACCTGAGAGGCAAATCCAACACACAGGTCTCTAACTGGCCTGAAATTCACCAATTAGACTAGACTGGCTGGCTCGTGAACCCTTGGAATCCTCCCCAGCCCTGGAATTGCAGGCAAGCACTGCCACATCAGGCGTTTTATGCAGGTTCTGAGGGATTGAGTTCCGGTCCGTCCTCAAGCTTCCAGCCAGCACTTAACCGACTGCGTGAGCTCCTCAGCTCAGGCCTCTCACTTTGAAATAAAAAGCTTTTAAACTCGGTGATCGCTTTGAGTTGACTCGGAGGTCCACAGCTGTAATTTGGCTTAGTGAGCTGCTTTGTGTGCTGGGGATGAACAGCTGCCCACACGGAGCCTCGGTCTCTGCCCAGCGTGTCTCGGGAGGCCCATTTGTCCCGTCTGGATGACTCCCACGGGAGCTGTGAGAAGCCATTCAGAGCGGCAAGCTGCTCAACGAATGTGGTTGTTCCGGGGATCTCAGCTCTGACGTGGGGGCCTCAGCCCTGATGTGGGACCAACCTTCTTTCTCTCCTTGACATGGAGGGAAGGAGACTTTGCTAGCTGCTGTGGTAGAGGCTGGCTGAGCAGAGCTACCCCAGCTGCTCTGGGTCTTGTTCCTCAGGGGTGGGTTAGAAGACCCAGGGAACCCCTGCCCTCTATCTGGACTGACAGGGGCTTGCAGCGATTTCTTTGACCACTTCCGTCAGGTGGGTCCTCAGGAGTGCCCCATGAACCCTTCAGTGTGTGCCAGCAAGGGAGAGGGGTATTTCCACCCTGGCCCTTTGGGCAGTTTTCCAGAGTGAAGAAACAAAGGAATCTCACGGTCAGGCTTTTATGGCCCTGAAATACAAACATCTGGCTGGCTTGGGAAGGCCTTCTGTTCCCACCCTGTGACCGTCCTGCCCAGGGGTCTGTACCACCCAGATGGTCTCATCTGTTACCCTCCTCAAGTCAAGACTCTAGCCATGGTTGGGAGCCCTGCCCTGGGTTCTTGGGGTCACAGACAGGCACTCTCACACCTCTTCTCCTTGTCCTGCAGGTTTTGGGATTTGAGGTTGATGCTGTGAACTCTGTGCAGTTTTCCAACCACACAGGTAGGCCCTTCTTCGGGTGGTAGTCATGGTGGAAGTGAGCATGGGTGTAACCTGGCCCTGAGGGAAGTAGGTGCCACCGCCTGTGGCCAGGGGATGGAACCCAGAAGTGCCACTCTGTGCAGGGTCTACTTCCACACCATGGCTGGTGTGTGTGACCCCTATTGTGGAGCTGACTGGTGGGAAAACCTCTGTGCCTCAGTTTCCCTCACTGCTAAGCTGGCAGTCATAGCATCTTCTGTGGTAGCAGAGCTGCCCAGGTAAATCACAGGGAGTGTGCTACCATGTCCCCCTGCTGACAGCTGGTGACCTGTGTGTCTGTTTGCTTTTCCACTATGGTGATACCTGGGGTTTAGTAGAGCCCCATGTGGTTCTAGATTCAGCACCAACACCCTGGGGAAGGGTATGTGTGTATCTGCCTTGTCCTGGGGACTCCAGAGACATCACTGCTTATTGCTGAAGGCAACTGTCCCGGGCAGCCCGTTGAATTGTTTGGGACAAGTGTGTATTCCCCACAGCCCTGACCTATGGAGACGGGAGTCCTCCCTAGTTTCCATGCTGGCAAGAGAACAAAGCCATTCCGGCTGACATTGTTCCGAACATAAAGGGGACTTCAGGAGCTCAAAGTGTCCCAGAGCAGCCCAGCTGGTCACCAGCAGCGTGTGAAATCTCATAGAATTTAACATGCTTCTCGAGTGTGATAGATTTTAAACTGGGAGGGAAGAATTATTAGCTGCCTCGGGACAGTGGGCCACCATGATTGGTGAGTGCTCAGTACCAGTGCCCTGGCCTTTGAAGTCACAGGTGGTCCAGGGCCTCCAGGGAACTGCATGGACCCCACTGACCCTTACTGATACCCTTTCTTACTTGTGTTTAAACGAGCAGAGATGTCTTGGATGTTGCACAGTGGAGCTGAGTTTACTTCTGCGGACTGTGCTGTGTGGGATTGCCATCAGTCTGTGCTCCGCCTGGTGCTTGACAGGCACTGAAAACACCTAGAGGCCTTAGAGGGGCTGTGAGTGTGTACCTGGAAGACCTGAGATGCTGAACTGAGGAAGTTCTCATTGGTGAAATTCAGGATGTCAGTGATTGGCCCCACCTGGCATCAGGTGCCCAGGTGTCCTGCATGTCAGGTGTCCCAGAGGCCTGGGGTCCTGGCCATAGCAGGCAGAGGGGCAGGTTGTATGCCTGGGCTAGACCTGTTTCTTACTTATGTTTGTCTCTTGCTAGGATTTGCCCTAACACTTGTTTTGGCAGTGTTTTAATTTGCTTGTGGGAGAGAGAGAGAGTGGGTGGGGATAGGGTGAGCCCTTACCTGCCAGGGTATCAGGTGGCAGTGACCAATCAACTCAACTTTGATGGCTAAAAACACGTAGAGGATAATGGAAACCAAGTAGGGCTTGGGTGGTCTCCCTGAGCTGCTCCCGTTGAATGCAGAAGTAAACAGCTGTGCACCCTGGTGTCCCTTTCCACATCTTCTGGGACACAGTTCCAAAGGGTTACCTAGGACATTGAGAGTCTGCTGCCCTGGACTGATTTGATAGAAACTAGGCATGGCAGGGTGGAGAACACTGTTCAGCCCCCACAGTACAGGAACAGGGGGTGCTTCTAGGGTATTGGGATGCCACTGAGGCATTGGGCCCAGTCTGTGCCTCAGGCCAGTCCTCAAAAGAGCTGTTCACTGGGTCTCCTCAAGGAGGGTAGGTGATTATCATCAGCTGAGATGGTCACCAGGGAAACCTGGGGCTCCCACACCCACAGCTTAGCCTGTTTTCTTCCTGCAGGCTACGCCCATTGGAAGGGCCAAGTGCTGAATTCACAGGAACTCCATGAACTGTATGAAGGTCTCAAGATAAATGATGCGAATAAGTACGACTACGTGCTCACTGGTGAGGGTCCCCAGCCTGCTGGTGACAGGGATAGGCCCACATTCCCCTTGCTGGGCTCTTGCATGGCTTCCTGCCTCCTTCAGGGTGGATTTTGTTGTGCCCTAGGCACCAACACACCCTGGAGGCATCCTGGTAGAGGAAGGAGTTGGAACCTTGCCAGGTTGATTCGTTGAGGGTGAAATGTTTCTACCTGGAACATGAGCTCATCTGTCACATTTCTGGCTGTATTTTCTACATATTGAATCTATTTATTCTGTGTGTGTGTGTGTGTCCACACAATTGCACACACACACACAGTGACACTACATGGGTTTGGTGATGAGAGTGCAACTTGTGGGAGTTGGTTCTTTCAACCCTGTGGGTACCAGGGATCGAACTTAAGTTTTCTGACTTGGTAGCAAGTCTCCCTATTCCATAGGCCCTCACACCAGCCCCCAATTCACTTTTTTTTTAAAAGATTTATTTATTTATTACATATACGTTGTGAGCCACCATGTGGTTGCTGGGAATTGAACTCAAGACCCTGGAGAAGCAGCCAGTGCTCTTAACCTCTGAGCCATCTCTCCAGGCCCAGTTTTTGTTTATTTGTTTGTTTAGTTAGGTTAAAAATGCCGTGTTTGAGCTGGGTATCATAGCAGACACCTTTAATCTCAACACTCAGGTAGGTGGAGCTCTGCGAATCTGAGGGCAGCCTAGCCTACATAATGAGTTCTGGGTGGGCCAGGGCTTCATAGTGAGACCCTGCCTCCAAAAATAGATAATTAAGTAAAACATGTATTTATGTATTTTTATGCATATGGGTGTTTTGTCTGCATGTACACCTGCATACCGCAAGAGGGCATCGGATCCCCTGAGAATACAGTTATAAACAGTTGTGAGCTGCCACATTCTTAACAGCTGAGCCATCTCTCCAGCCCCTAAATAAAAACTTTTTAAAGAGACACAGAGGCTGCAGAGATGGCTCAGTTGTTAAGAGCACTCTTGCAGAGGACCCAGGGTCACTTCCCAGCCCACATAGGGTAGCTCACAACTGCCTGTAACTCCAGCTCCAGGGGATCTGACACCCTCTTCTATCCTCTGCCCTCTTCTGTCCTCCAAGGCCTTAAGCTCACATGTGGTGCACAGACATACACTCAGGCACACAAACATACACATAAAATATTGTTTAAGTGGTTTATTTTGAAAGTGGAAATTTTAGTTACCTGCCAGTTGTCTGTAGTTCTATCATTTTAAACCCCTCACATACATCTGGGATCTTCCTGTCTTCCCCTCTGTGACCACAGACTTTTGGAAACCTGTGTATTCCCTGGCTGCAGGGTCTGGCCTCCCCCACTCCCATGCATGTTTGATTTGATTGTGTTACAGCACCCTGGTGGTCAGTGTGTCCTGTTTTGAGAGGATAAACCTGGATTGTCCCTCCAGGTTACACAAGAGACAAGTCCTTCCTGGCCATGGTGGTGGACATCGTACGGGAGCTGAAGCAGCAGAACCCCCAGATAGTGTACGGTGAGAGCTGGACCATGATGCCCCTTCTCCACTGTGTCCCATGCTGACCGTACCCTCAAGACAGGGACATCTCAGCCAACTGTCTTCTGGCTTCCTCGCCTCCTGTTTGGCCTTTACCTATTAGTTATTTGACTTATGGGACCTCTAAGGGGGAGTGAGTCTTGAGGGCAGGCTCAGCAGGGGAATTGAGAAGTTTGTCAGGGTGACTGTAGGGTTTCTTGTGAGGTGCATAAGAAGGGAGGGTTAAGTATGTGTTTTAAGGCCTGGGGTGCCCAAGATGTGTGAGGTCTGACCCTAAAGAGGATATAGGTTGGGTTGATACCCCAGGCTGGGCTAAACTAGTGGGTGGGGGTTGGGAACACACTATATCTAGTTTGTCTGCGTGGAGAGTGGCACTATGGCTGGTAGGCAGCGCTGGGTCCATGTGCCATGTGGAGCAGCCTGAATAGCTGTCTCCTGGGTGTGCACAGTGTGCCCTGCCTGAAGGCCAATAGCACATTGCTTTGTCCATGCAGTAGACTGTGGTCCAAAGGGAATGTGCCTGAACCTGGGAAGATACCATAAAACCTGGGTTACTAGTCTCAGTCAGGCCAGTGGGGAGGGCACTATGCCAGTCCAGGTGACCTGAGGTAATGTGTTCTTGAGATGAAGGTGTGAATGTTAAGTTATATGTGCAATTATCCCGGGGACCTAGTTGTCTTGGACAGAGAAGTGCAAAGTGCTGGGTAAAAAATTGTTCTGTGTCTCCACATGTATGTAATGTTTAAAAAGAAAATTGAGAGACTAGGTGTGTGGCTCATTGGTACAGTGCTTGCCTAGCATACACGAGGCCCTGAGGAAAGATCCCCACACCATGTAAACTGAATGTGCAGGTGTACACCTCTAATCCTAGTACTCAGAGAGTCAGAAGTTCAGGGTCATCCCATCTACATAGTGGGTTCAAAGCCAGCCAGGGCAAATTGAGAACTTGTTGTCAGTTAAGGGTGTGTACTCCTCTTGCAGAAGCCACGAGTTCAGTTCCAAGCACCCACTCTGATGGCTCATAGCTGTCTGTAAACCCCACTACAGGGGGTCTCCTGCCCTTTTCTGAACTCCTGGGCACCTGCACACATGGAGCATGTACATACATGCAGGCACACACTCTGGCAGTTAGAGCAAGAGTTAGATATGGAGGCTTGTGTGGTGTGCATGCCTACTTTCCCAGCTACATGGGAGGCTGAGGCAGGAAGATTGAAAGTCCAAGGCTAGCCTGGGCTACACAGTGAGAAAGCAAACAGTGTGGAGGTCTGTCATTGGAAGCTATAGCAGTTGCTGACCAGATGCTGTGTCCCCACAGTGTGTGATCCCGTGATGGGCGACAAGTGGAACGGCGAAGGTTCCATGGTGAGTGTACCCACGCTGCTGTTAACCATGTGGTCTGTGCATCTGCTTTGAACCAAAGAGAAGGTCACCTTCCCGGGTAAACCAGCGTGACTCCCATACAAGGCTGAGACACCCCTGTTAGGAAGTTGGTCAAATGGACGGCAGTCATTAGAGTGTGTACCATAGAGAGTCTGTCAGCCATGGACAAGCTGTGTAATGAAGCTCCAGGTGTGGGCACTGAAGGTGACTGTCCCGAGTTTCTCCTGTTGCAAATGGTTTTTCTCAAAAGCTGGTTTGGAGGATCTTGCAGGGGAGAATTCTAGCCATTTGCCCTGGACTGCAGGACAGTACTCCTCCATCCAGGAGAGGCGTCCTCTCTGTGTAGTTTCAGGAGGGATGCATGTGAAGCAGTCAGGGAAGAGGACGCCTCACCAATCCTGTCAGCCTGTCCACACTGCAGATCACTGGGGTGAGGGATGTCACAGCCGGATCACCTTCTCATGCAAATGTTTTTTCCTTTGTCAGTTTCCCTTATCCATTTAACAATGAGGAAGTCACTTTGAGCACACCAGCTGTTCAAAACTGGACAGTGGGTGGGTCATAATCCACGAGTAAAACTGGTCCTGTGGCCATGTCAGACACCTCAGACTATGGAGATGGGAGGCCTCAATTCAGAGGCCTAACACCTCAAAGTCAGCGTTTTAACACAAGCCCACCCTGGCATTTGCTTCTTTTGTTGGCTTTTGACTCATGTATTACTCATTGTGAATTCCCTGAGCACACTTGGCCACACACGGTCTACACCAGTGCAGGACTCACCTGGACCAGGTGTCTGGTTTGCTCGGTGCCTGTCTTCATCTGCTTCCTCCAATGCCTATTTTCTGGAAGGTTCCCTGCACCAGACTCCCTCCTTTCTTCCTGATGATGCTTGCTGCAATGTCCCCAGCCAACCTAGAGACGCTGGTGTTTGGGTCCTAAAGAGCTCTCCTTCGGGCTCAGTGTCCCTGTGATGTGTCCTGGTTTTGATTAAATAACTTTCCCGGAGGGCCTAGATTAAAGATAATGTGTTAGGGTCAAACTAGCAGAGAGTCTGTGGCTCTGGTGATCAATTTTGTTCTATTTTTGTTCTGGGGGGTCAAACCCAGGGCCGCTCATATGCTAGCCAAATGCTCTGCTGCTGAGACGTGTGCCATCCATAAAACTCAGTTGTATAAGAGCCTTTAGTGATGTTGTGCTGGGTTGGGGATGTCAACTTGTCACAAGCTAAAGTCACCTGTGCTGAGGGAACCTAAGTTGAGAAAATGTCTCCATAAGATTGGACTGTAGGGAAGCCTGGAATGCATTTTCTTAATTACTGATTGATGGGGGAGGGCCTGGGCCATGGTGAGTGTTCCCAGCTAGCCATGGGGAGCAAGCCAGCAAGTAGCACCCCTCCATGCCCTCTGCATCAGCTTCTGCCTCCAGTTTCCTGCCCTGCTTGAGTTCCTGTCCTGACTTCCTTCAGTGATGGACTACAATGTGGAAGTGTAAGCCAAATTAACCCTTTCCTCCCCAACTTATTTTGATCATGGTCTTTCATCCTAGCAATAGGAACCCTAGCTAAGGCAGATGTCATGGTCAGACCCGAGTCTAGGGGTTGGGCTGTGAAAGTGATCCTATCTATTCTTAGCTCTTTTTCATTTATGCCAGCCAGCAGGAGTTCATCTGCATAGGACCTCGGACCTCCAGGGAAATGCCTCAGCAACTGGATGGGGAGAGATTAGAACCCTGGACCACTCACCAGTGCTGCAAAGCATCATGGGAACAGACCGTTTTTTCAGAGCTTCATGTGGGATCTGGATGTCAGGAACTAGACATGGTATTGGGTGTCTGTAATCCTAGTTATTTGGAAGGCTGAGGTGGGATGATTGCAAGTTTGAGGCTAGCCTTAATCCCACAAAAGACCACCATCCACGTATGCAGTCAACGAGAGCATTCTTTAATCCAGCATGCTGGAACCGACCATCCTACACAAAGGCAAAATGGCAATGACCTTGAGAGGAGCTCGCAGGCTCCTTTTAAGCACAGTCAGTGAGACGGACGTCCTAGGGCAGTCCTAGGTCCTTGGCTTAAGCAAGTAGCAATCATATTAGTATGTTCTAATTGACTATGGCTGGCAGGGGCTGGTTAAGGCTACAGCTTTTCTATTTTGGGGCAGGCCTGGACAAGTCCCAGGCTTTGACCTTATTTGGTTATTACCTTGAGCTATTGACTTGTGATTCAGGCCTGGCCTGGTTGTTGGGGTGCTGGAGACTGCTTGTCCTTTGTTCATGGCTCTCTCAGAAACTGCTTGTCCAGTCTCAGGAACCTGATATTGAGGCCTGATCTCTGAGAGAAGACTGAGCATCCTGTAATGGCATCTGCTCAGTCCTCTCAAAGGCATAGATCATCCTTGCTTAACAGGCATGAGGCCCCGAGTGCATCACTAACATGGAGATAATAAACAAAAGCTAAAGATTGGTCTAAGCTGTCCTTGGTGAAGGTGGTCCAGAGCAAAAAGGACATCGAGGACCCCAAGATTGTGGTGCAGGCCATGGTGCTGTGAGGGCCGTGCATTCGCCCCAACACACCGAGTGCCGGGGTCTCTGTTTTCATCCCTGTGAAAGCTGTAACGTCTGCCTTAGAGCCATGACTGACACTTGACATTTTATTCCTTCCTGAGGGTCGGGTCTCATCCGGTCTCAATGGTGAAAATGTACCATCATGTTTTTAAAATAATAATAATAATAATAATAATAATAATAATAATAATAATAACAAAAGCCGTTGCAGAAATATGTGACTCAGAAACATGGCCCCTTCTCCTCCCAGGCTCTGGGCCTGCTGACTGTATCTTGTTGACTCATAGGTGTGTGGGAGGTAGGTGGAGTAGGCAAGCCTGCTGCCTGTGGACCCTTCTGTTGGTCACAGGCTGCCATTGCCTCCAGATTCCTGATTGTGATGGGACTAGGTCTGTGGTGGCATTGTTTTTAAATTGGGTTAAGTCTTTTTCTTGGGGGGGGCAGTTCAAGACAGGGTTTCTCTGTGTAGTTTTGGTGCCTGTCCTGAATCTCACTCTGTAGACCAGGCTGGCCTCAAACTCACAGAGATCCGCCTGCCTCTGCCTCCTGAGTGCTGGAGACTGCCCTCCAGGTTAAGTCTTAACCATTGGCATCTGGAAGAACTATGCAAAATATCTTCATTGCCATTCTGGTCTTACCCTTGTTCCTGCATCAGAGCTTGGGTAGGCACACAAGCATGTAGTCACTGTGACAGGGACCCTTTAAGGGCCCGGAACATTCCAGGGGATCTGCAAGCCTTCTGGGTGTCTGCAGGATCTCCTATAACTTGGGAGCAACTTCTGGGAAACTGACCAACCTAGGGGGCGGCTGCTGAGCCTAAGGTGGCTTGGGAAGTTCAGGGAAGATGCCACACTGGGTCCTTGTGGGAGCTCACCCAGCGCTGTGGTCCTCAGTTGGCACTGCACTTGCCATGTGATGCTGGGGACAGCACATTGCTGCAGCTGTGTTTGCACAGACAGAAGGAGAGGCGGCTGTGGCACGAGCCCCCTGGTGGCATACTTAACTGTGGGCTCCTCCTTCCATTTCTGTATTCTGTGCCCAGCACTCACTGAGGGGCAAGAGGCCCTCATGTGAAGCCAGCTCGCACTCTGCCTCCTTGGAAGTCCTGCTCCTAGAGGGAGCGTATGGGCACTGTGGGTGCAGGGCATCCCTTAGACCCTTGCAGGAGACTGTGACAAGTTCCATTTCCATTGCTCAAGTGTGGCTTTCCCGACTGTACATCTTGGAATTTGGGGTCCCTGAGTCCTAGCTGTGAGTGGGGCTGTCCATTTTGATTGACCTTTATCTCAGCATCCACCCATTTCCCTATACCTCAGTTCTTAAGATTTGCCTCTTCTGAGAAGCCACAGCCTAAGGAGCAATGGGAGATTGGGAGAGGTGGGGACTACATTGTGATTCCCCAGGGGCATAGGTTCTCCAGGGGTGCCTGGCTGCCACCCATAGGTGAACCTCAGAGGGCCACACCCTACCTTAACATAGTCCAGTGTTCCCCTTCCCCAGTTAAAATGCCCTAGATGGAGGAGACACCGGTCCACGTGGACTTGCACCAGTCCAACTCCGCTCCCCCACCAGCCTGCACCCTGACTTCTCTCCTTTCTGGTCTCAGGCTGCAGGATGGCGGAGCAGGGAAAGCTGCCTGTTGCCAAGGCTGACAACCTGAGGGACCCACATGGTGGAAGCAGACAACTGATTCTTGTAAATTGTTCTCTCTCTCTCTCTTACACACACACATATGCACACACACACACACACACACACACACACACCAACCAAAAATAAATAAATAAATAAATAAATGTAATTTAAAAAATTACCTTGTTCACTAATATCCTAAGCCAGGGTTAGCTAGCTCTCTGGTGTGTGTTTCCTGGTCCCAATGGCAGGACTCTGAGCCCCAATTAATGCAGACCAGAAAAGAGAAAGCCATGGCCAGTGGCCTGGAATGGAGGAACAACTACATTCCCCTAAGTCACAGGAAAAGCCCCTCACTGCCTCTCAGAGAGCAGGGAACACCATTTTGTCAGCAATGAGGAAAACTTCCTTTTTCCTCTCAGAGTATTGAGACTGGACGGGAGAGATGGCCGTGTTGGTAAAGTGCTTGCCGTGCAAACACGACCTGAGTTCAGTCCCTAGCACCTAAGTGTGGTCCTGGAGTGTGCACCTATAACCTCAGAGCTAGGGAAGTGGAATCGAAGTAAAGGAAGACCCCAGATGTTGACCTCTGGCTTCACACACATGCATACAGTAAGAGCAGTCATAGGGTTGAGGAAAGCCTGTATGTGTCTGATGTGATGTGAAGAAGCCCCTGGCAGAGCAGTGCTGGGTGTGGTGGTTTGTGTGTGCTGGGTCTTCATGACCTCACTCTCCACCACACCAGGAGAGCCTCTTGCTTACACAGCTGGGTGAGTGCTCTTTCCTCATGAGAACTTCCTCTAAAGTCCTAAACTTGGGTGTGGTCTGGATTGTCTTCCTGTGTGCCTTGGAGCCCAGGGGACAAGGAACAGAGGCTGAGACTCAGGCATGTGACAGAAGAAGCAGTGCTTTGAGCGTGGGGCCTGGGCAGAAGCAATGCTTTCCAAAGAACTGTCTGCGGCCCTGCCTGCCAGCAAGCACCAGGTCTGGTCCCCTTGTTTCCAAGTCAGAATTGCCTTTCACTCTCACTTCGCATAGTTCAGTTGTGACATGACGTATTTGGAAATGAAGCTGTGTTAGCCTGGTGTTGCCTGCTTCCTGCTGGGGACTCCCTCTGGTACTGTCTTAGTCCATCTCCTTCAACCTCCCGGAAGACTAAGAGGGAATTCTGACAATGATGCTTTGGAAATCTTGCCTGGCCCTGTTGATAATCATGTGCCTCTAGCTTACTTTTATAATATGTTAATGATTGTAAAAAAGACGCTGTCCTTTTCTTCAAGTTGGGAGAGCCCGGTGTTTAAAAGCTGCTTGATGTTTCTGTGGGAGTGGCCAGGCCTGGCTTCACTGTGCTGAAGTGGGGTATTGAAAGGAGGGGACTGTGTGCTCCATAGTCTACCTGGGTTCCCAGTATGATGTCACCACCACCATCTGGGATAGGAGAATAGCACTGGGTGTTACAAGTTAGGCCATGTCCTGTCCTTGGTGAGGAAGGCGGGGCCCTCCTGAAGGAGGCAGGTTGGCCAGTGCAGCGCTGAGCCCCTGCTGTGCCCCTGGGCAGCTCCTGACCCCAGTGTCCAGCTCCCATTGCTTCAAACCTTACATTGTCCGTAGCTGAGAAGTATAGAAAAGAAAAGAGAGGTGAATGTATTTGGAACCCATTGCTTCCTTCCTGCCCTCTGAGGAATCACTCACTGGGGTGTATCTGGTGCATACTTCTGCAGTTCTCAGGTGCCCAGTGACCACTGGGCAGACCACAGCTTGTACTGGTCCCCTCCATGCATCTTTCTTTTGGCGCAAGGTATCTATCTGGGCCCAGGGAGGTGCAGGCAAGGACACAGGCTTTGGTGGTGGTGTCCAGATTCTGTGTGCCCTCCAGGGGGTGCCTCAGCCCAGCCCCTTTTATTGCTGCCATGCTGACATTTGGGGAATTCTCTTCTAATCAGCCATGCATCTACTTGTAGTGAGAAACCCTGGAAAGTCAAGTCTGTCCAAGTGACAGATGGATGCTGACCACAGGGACCACCAGTGGATGCCTGGAGAAGGTGCCTGCCCCCACCCCCCGAGGGACAGTTCTGGGAGGTCAGGTTCACTGTAAGTTTCTTCATAGAACTGTGGGCTCTGTAAGGAAGGCTTGAACCTGGTCCCACCAGTCTGGATGCTGCCCTCTCTGAGGATGATGGAGGAGCGCCCTGGAGTGGAGGTGCTGCTAGACGTGCATGTGCCAGTCTGTTCCTTTCCTACACTTCCTGTGACAGCTTCAGGTGGTGGCTGGCAGAGCATTTTCAGGTTCCATTCCTGTGGAACCAGGGTGGGGAGATGTCTGCCTCCTGTTGCACACTTTCAGTGTCTACCAGCAGGGGGCGCAGTGGTACCAGAGTGGTATCAGCTGCCCAGGTAGATGCTGGTACCAGCAGCTTAAACAGCAGTCCCCAAGCTGGGAGATTTGGTCGGCTGGTTTTTTAGTGTGTAAATCTTTGTGTTAGCATCCAGACTTTGGTGCTGTATGACATCTCACAGCGAGTAGGAGCTCAGTGTGTCCCCAGGCCTTGCATGACATCCCAGGAAGCTATGGCTTGGTCAGCATGGCCAGACGTGACATTTCTTAAACTGGGTGCATTTTGAAATGTATGTTTCCTTGTTGACTCTATTTTATTCTTGATGCAGTGGTTTTCCATGCAAAGTCTAATTTAAAATAATGTCTTATATGCCATATTCTCCCTTCATGCCACCCTAGTGTGTTTATTTGCTTAAAACCAGAATTTAATGAGTAACTCTTAATTTACTAGTATTCAATATTTTTATATAAATGGAAATTTTTGCTTGGCAAGGTGGTGTACACCTATAATCTACCCTAGGGGCTGAGGCAGGAAGATAGCTGTGTAGCTGTGTAGTAATACTGTATCTTTACACACACACACACACACACACACACACACACACACACACACACACACACCATTATTCCTGGATTTTTTTTTTAAATTTCTGGTAGAATAAACACCATTTAAAGACTTCACTTTTTGAAACAGGCAGGAGCATATCCTCAAATCAGAAGTCCTTGTCTCCCATTTACCATTTTTTTTTTCTTTCTCGAGACTCGGTTTTTCTGCATAGCCCTGGTTGTCCTGGAACTTACTTTGTACTGTAGACCAGACTGGCCTTGCACTTATAGAGATCTGCCTGCCTCTGCCTTCTGAGTGCTGGGATTAAAGGTGTGTGCTGCCGCCGCCGCCGCCGCCGCCGCCGCCGCCGCCGCCGCCACCACCACCACCACCACCACCACCACCACCACCACCACCTGGCTCATCTCCCATCTCTTACCCTCACCACCCAGGTTTGAGCCCCGGGGAACACCCACTTAAGGGTGGTGATGGTGAGCTGAGCTCCCCCATGCCAGCAGCTCCTTTTTCCTCTTTCTAGCTCACTGTGGGCAGTTAGTTCCTGGTCTTTCTGCGACAGGATGCACATTCCAGGTGAAGGTCTCCCTAAGCCATGGGGACCCCACCCTGCCCCTGTCAGCTCTTAAATAGATAGCTAGGGCTGCCCCACCCTGAGGCTTTAGGTGGGTGTTAACAGGGGAGAGCCTGCCACTCAGACCTCCATGCTCGGAAGCTCCCAGAAGGCCTTAGGGTGTAACCATGGCCATGCCTCACTGCCCATCCTATAGAGCCAGCAGAGATGTGTAAAACCATGGCCGCACCTCACTGCCTTACAGGGCGAGGTAGTCCCCCATGAAGGCAAGTGGAGGAGCCTTCACCCTTAGTGTCACCTGGGCCAGTACCATGGAAGTGTCTGAGCTACATTCTCACAGAGGTCCTGACTCCTGCCTGACATGAGGAGAGCATGCTCTGGGGTGACAGGACAAGTTGAAGACCCCCAGGCTTAGTACATCTGTCCTGTGTCCCACAGAGCAGGAAGGCAGAAGCCTGATTCCTTCAAACTCAGACCTGATCGGTTCCCACAAAACACCTAAGATCACTTTCTGGATGATGGGAGAGTGAGTCAGTATTTTTGGAAATGGTGGTGGATTCTTCATGAACATAGCTCTTGAAGGATGAGACATGGGTGACTTCCTGAGTGCTCTTAGCTTCATAGCTGCCTAATTCCCAATATAGACCTTGTCTCTCTCTATATATACATATAACAAGATTTCCTGAAATTCCTGTCAGAATTTCACCCATGTGATGCAAACCTAGACCAATCAGAAGACGGGCTGCATCTCTGGGCCCGCCCCCGACCTACTATTCCTTCTCAGAGACCACAACTTTTTGGCAGCTCCTAGCCTTTAGAGCAAAGCACAAGGCTGGCCCACAGTCCCTGTGTGCAGGAGGGGCTTGTGGTGGTATTGTGTTCCCCAAAATATTGTGCACCCTAATAAACTTATCTGGGGTCAGAGAACAGAACAGCCACTAGATACAGAGGGTAGAAAATGGTGGCACTCACACTTTTAATCCTAGCATTCCAGAGGCAGAGATCTACCTGGATCTCTGTGTGTTCAAGGATACAGCCAAGCATGGTGACTCACACCTTTAATCCCAGAAAGTGAGCCTTTAATCCCAGGGAGTGATTGCAGAAAGCAGAAAAATATATAAGGCGTGAGGACCAGAAACTAGAAGCTTTTAGCTGCTTAAGCTTTTAGGCTTTTGAGCAGCGGTTCAGCTGAGGCCTATCTGGATGAGGACTCAGGGGCTTCCAGCCCGAGGAAACAGGATCAGCTGAGGAATTGGCGAGGTGAGGAAGCTGTGGCCTGTTCTGTCTCTCTCTGATCTTCCAGTATTCACCCCAATACCTGGCTCCGGGTTTGCTCTTATTAATAAGACCATTTAAAATTCGTGCTACAGGGGCTTGCTCTGGGCTCAGGTGGTCTCCAGCCCAAGTCCCCCAGCCCTGTGTACTGTCCCCTGTCAGTGCATTTGTAGACATGAGCACCTGTCAGCACTCTGTGGGACATCTATATAAATCCAACTCCACTAATCTCTCTTTTCTCTGATGCCCTCCTCAGAACCACCCCTGACCTACCTCAAATATTAAAAAAAAGTAAAGACTTTTCAGAGTGCCTCCTATTGACCTGAACTCTCTTCTTGAAATGTTTCATTCACGTTAGGCAGTGGTAGGGCAAACCTTTAATCCCAGCACACAGGAGGCAGAGGCAGGTGAATCTCTGTGAGTTCGAGGCCAGACTTAATTGTACATGGGGCCATGTTCCAGCCCTAGAAAGCAACAGAATTTGGTAGATTTCGCCATATAGCTGTGGCTTTATAGTCAAGGATAGAAGGAAGGGGTATGGAATCTCTCTCTGCAGCTAAGGAAAGCCTCTGAGGCCAGGCATGCATGTCTCAGGGGTGTCCTTGAATGGAGGCCTAGAGAGGCCATTGTATGAAGCTGTTAAGGAGAAGCCTGAGTTGCCTTGGAGACCCCAAGATATTGGAGATGCCAGGGTCATGGGATGCCTGTCAAGGAAAGCAGCTAACAGGGAGCAGAAGCAGTCCAAGAGAGAGAGAAGTGTGTTGCAGTCAACAGAGCCCGAAGGAGTTGGAGAGCTGAAGAGCGTTTTTTGACATCAGACATAGAGATGCAGAGTTTGGAGCTTGCCCAGCTGGTTTTCAGTCTTACGTTGGTCCAGTAATTTCTCACTATGCTCCCGTTCTTCCATTTTTGGAATGGTAATGTATACCCTGTGCCATTATATGTTGGAAGTCTGTGATTGGCTTTTTGATTTAAAATTTACAGGGGATTATAGTTAAGAGATGGCATGAATCTTAGAAGAGACTTTGAAATTTAGTCTTTTAAATAAGTTTGAGACTGTTATAGATTATGTGGACTTTTGAAGTTGGGCTGAATGCATTTTTGCATTACGATATGGCTACAAGCCTTTGGGGACCAGGGGGGTTGATAGTGCTCTTAAGCAAGACATCCAAGGCTGTCCTCTGTCCTTTACATGCATGTGCACATGTGCACGAGTACCCCCTGCACACACTGAAGACATGAATTAAAAATAAGAGAGGCAGGTGATTCATGACTTTGATCCAAGCACTCAGGAGGCAGGTGGATCTCTGTGAGCTTGAGACTACCCTGGTCTGCATAGTGAGTTCCAGGACAGTCAGAGCTGTATAGAGAGACCCTGTCTCAAACAGACAGACAGACAGACAGACAGACAGACAAGTGAATAAATAAATAAAAGAGGCATGCAATTGTTTACAGGGTCTCAGCCATGCGGCCTGCCACCTTTTCCAAGTTAAAACTTCCCCCATTCCTCTTTAGTTAGGATTTTATTGCTGTGCCAAAACACCATGAGCAAAAGTAACTTGGGGAGGAGAGGGTTTAATTTGGCTTACTGTTCCACATCATTGTTGTCACTGAGGGAAGTCAGAGCAGGCACTCACACAGGGCAGGAACCTGGAGGCAGGAGCTGATGCAGAGGCCATGGAGGGGTGCTGCTTACTGGCTTGCTCAGCCTGCTTTCTTATAGAATCCTGGACCACCCGCCCAGGGGTAATCCTATCTGCAATGGGCTGGGCCCTCTCCCATCAATCACTAGTTTAGAAAATGCATTATAGACTTACTTATAGAGCAATCTTTTTGGTTTTTATTTTATTTTTTTAAATCAAACTATAATAAAATTGTCCCTAAGCTTCTAAAAGAAAAGGAAGGAAGGACGGAAGGAAGGACGGACGGAAGGAAGGAAGGAAGGAAGGAAGGAAGGAAGGAAGGAAGGAAGGAAGGAAGGAAGGGAATAGTTCATTCTGAGCCAAATATGAATGCTCATGGTCCAGGATCATGTTTCAAGTTACTCTTAATGACATGTTTGCCCTCCATGGAGAAGGGTCCATGAACCTTGATAGTCACAGAAAAGGAAGTCATGAACCTGTTAGTGGTGAAATATGTCTGTGACCACATTTGAGAGACAGAGGCAAAAGGATCACTATGAGTTCCAACCCAGGCTACATAGCAAAATCCTATTTTAAAAAAATTAAAAGCAGGACTGAGTGGCATATGTGAGTCCTAGATTCAATTCCTACAATCACCAAAACAAACTTTGAGCCAGGCGTTATGGGGCAAGCCTGTTCTCCTAGTACTTGTAAAACAGAGGCAGGAGGATCACCTCAAGCTTGAACCTAGCCTGCTCTGCCCTTGAAGCTCCAGGCCAGCCAGGGCTATACAGAGAAACTCTGTGTTAAACAAAAACTGTAATGAAAGGATAAACTCCAAGAGCTGGCCTGTCAGACTTAATCAGAATAACACCACGTGGGAGCTGAGTCAGAGGAACTCCCAGGCTGCAGGAATGGCTGGTTCCTCCTTGCCCCAGCAGGGCAGCAGACCAGCACAGGCAGAAAGCTGCTGCCCAGGTGTGCAAAGGCTAAAGGAAGCCAAACTGTCCTGCTGGAGGGGCCAACCCTTCACCCGGGCTGGAGGGGTCTGAGGTGTGCCCCAGCAGCTGGGGTGGCCTGATACCCCATCTGTGCCAAACTGAGTTGGCTCTCGGACTTGGAAACCCACCAGGGGTCACAGGCACCTCCTTATCCTCAGGGATGCAGGTCCTGGGGAGGGGGCTGAGACCCATCTCTGGTGCTGTGCCCTGTGCTGTGGTGTGTGCATGGCCCCTGAAGCTTCCTCCTTCTCCCTCCACCTCCTCTGTTCATCACTTCCTTTCGTTCTCTGATGTTTTAATTGAACCCCCACCCCCACCCCGACTTTTCTCTCAGGAGTTCTGGTTCTGCAGGCTGCTGGGCACTGGACCCCAGCAGGATGAAGGCAGGAATGTGTCCTGGGCAGGGCATCCTCACAGACAGGGGACAGCATGAGACATGAGGAAAGCTCTGAATGGCACTTACATGGCTGTTCCCTGGATGGATTCCAGGGGTGGAATGAGGGGGTTCTCAGTCAAGGAGGCCTTGTACTTCAGAGCTAAAACTGGGAATGCCATAGAGGTCAGAGGACAATTTGTGGAGTTGATTCTCTCCTTTCCACTAAGTGGGTTCTGGGGATTGAACTCAGGTGATCAGGTTTAACTGCAAGGACCTTTACCCACTGATTTACCCTCCTGGACTTGTTTTGTGAGTTAGGATCTCCCTATGTAGCCAGTGCTGATCTCCAATTAATGATTCTCAACCTGGCAGTGGTGGTGCATACCTTTAATCCTAGCATTCAGGAGGCAGAGGCAGGCAGACCTGTGACTTGGAGGCTAGCCTGGTCTACAGAGCAAGTTCTAGGACAGCCAGGGCTACACAGAGAAACCCTGTCTAGCAAATTAACAACAACAGCAACAAAAGACTCTCCTGATGAGAATTATAGGTATGTGCCTGCACGACCAGCAAATACATATTATTACTATTAGTTATTATTATTTTGAGACAAGGTGTCCAAGTGTATCCCTGGCTGGCTTGGAACTTAGTAGGTAGACCAGGCTGGCCTCAAAGCCACAGAGATCTGCTTGCCATTGCCTCCTAGGTACTGGGATTAAAGATGTATGTGCCTGGCAAATATATAATTTTTTAATAATGGGCTTTGGATTACATATAAGGCGTCAACTATCAACCAGAAAGCAGTTCCTGATCAGATTCATCTTGTGCAACTGCCTTAGAGAGGAAATTGCATGCTGGGAAGACATGAGTGACATACCATTTTCCCCCAAAGTTATCACGGCCACTTTGCTGTGGTGCAATCAATACTGCCCACCCTCTGGAAGGGACAGCTGAAGTAGGACGGCCATCTGGTCACTTCTGGTTGAATACCTCTTCAACTTTTGTTCCTGAGACCCTAGGCTCAGACATAACAAAGGGATTGCAAGATTGATGGACTGAAGCATTAGTCATCAGGCGATGAGTAACTCCAGGAAGAACTGAAGCAATTTTTAGCTTGGGTTCAGAAAGGCAGCGAGTTCTAAGAACAAAAGGCGTGTTCTGAGCCTGGGAGGAACGCCAGCGCTGTCCATCAAGGCCCAGGTGGTCCAGCCCCTGCTCCATCCTCCATCCTGCAGAAGTCAGGGACCCAGCATGATTGGCTTCCTCGGGGGAAACTTGTCACTGTGGAGAGGTGGGTACAGCTGACTTCTGGGGCAGTCCCTCCACCCTGCCACCAGACATGGAGTGAGGTCAACTTTCTTACCTCAGCTTGGCTCCAGGACCTTGGTCTCCCTTCTGATTGATAGAGGTTACAGGTCTATGCCACTGTACCCAGTTGTCTGTTCATTCATTCATTCATTCATTTATTTATTTATTTAAGATTTATTTCTTTATTATGTATGCAGTATTCTGCCTGCACGCCAGAAGAGGGCACCAGATCACGTTACAGATGGTTGTGAGCCACCATGTGGTTGCTGGGAATTGAACTCAGGACCTCTGGAAGAGCAACCAGGGTTCTTAACCTCTGAGCCATCTCTCCAGCCCGCAGTTGTTTATTTATTTATAAAATGTGCTGGGACAGCAGACTCAGCTGCATTGTGCTTTTAGACAAAACTCTGGCTTGGCTCAGGTTTCACTTGTGGAGACACAGTATTTGGTTGGGGAGTTGGTCAAATAACAGAATTCCCTCCAAGGCCCTGACCATTGGCTGTGCAAACCAGTCTCATGGCTGCAACCTCAGGCTATCCTGACCTCTGAGGTCCTAGCGACAGCCACAGCTTCAGACGGAAGTCAGCTGCCAGTTTGTGCTTGACAAGCTGCAGGAGCTCTGTGGGAATGGCGCCTTGTTGGGTTGTGCTGTGTCCCCAGAGTGCCTGGCTCTGTGCCCTGACTGGGTAAGGACAGGTTCCTTGGTGTCCTCCTAGAGAGCATGCTGGCCTGTGGTACTGAGAGCTGCCGTGAGCTGCCAGGGCTGCCTCTCCAGCTCTCTGGAGTCACGTTCTGATGCTAGCGTGTGTGTGTGTGTGTGTGTGTGTGTGTGTGTGTGTGTGTGTGTGTGTGTGTTGGGGGCTGGGAAGCTTCCTTTCCCTAGAGCTGAAAGTAAAGGCCTTTTCTAGGCTAGCTGGGAGGCTAAGGCTGGAGGTACCATGGTAACTAGCCCATCAGCAAGGCACCTGCTGTAGAAAGGTCATGACCCCTGCTGGACCCTCCCCAGGGCTGCCAGAGTCCACCCAGTGGGCTATAAAGTCAGTTAGACTCAGCATTAGGGTCTGTCTAGGTGTCCTGGTCCATGACTATCATTGCCAAACTTTGGAGACTGAGGCAGGGATCTAAGTTTGAAGCCTGCCTGGATTATTATATGGGGAGATTCTGCCACAAACCAACCCAATCCGCCAGGGAATGTCCTAAGGCAAAGCCAGGTACTGCTTCCTGGCTAAAGAGAACCTGCTTTGAGGCTGAGAGGGATACACTATTTGGTCTGTGGTCTTCTGGGGTCACACTGCAGTCTGGGCACACTCAAGTCCACATCACTCCAGAGAATGCTCAACACTGCATAGCAAAATGTATGCCCTAGCTTATTCCACAGTGGGTCTTCCTTAATATGTTCCTCCCTTCTATACAGCTGAGTTTGACTAAGGGAGTGTCTCATGCTCCCACCTCAAAATGCACAATCACAAACCCTTTGGGAATTTGTGTGTTCTGGGAGTGGTGGTAGAGGGTGGTGTCTGGGACTTGAACTCATGGCTGCCCACAGATTAGCACTCCATCACTGAGTTACACCCTAGCCAATGATTAAAATTTTTTTAAAAAATTTCTTTTTGGTTTTTTAAGACAGGGAGGGTTTCTCTGTGTTAACAGCTCTGGCTGTCCTGGAACTTGCTTTGTAGAATGGCCTGGAACTCAGGTCTGCCTCTGCCTCTGGGATCAAAGGTGTGTACTACCATGCCAAGTTTAAATGATGTTTTTTGGTCAGATGAATAGCTCCTGGTTTTCTGAGTACTTTGTCTCATGGAGCCTTCCAATCTCCATTTCCCCCACAATCCTTTCTGAGATTGGACGATAACAGATGATGTGGGGATTTAACAAGGCAACTCCATGTAGTTAAAAGGTTTATCTTGGGGTAACTTACAGCCAGTAAAAAGGTTGGTTACAGGATCCGGGAGATGTGAGGTGCAGTCCAGTGGGGTTCTCTGGGGAATTCTGACTTGGTCTCCCATCCAGGATCACGAGGAACCAAGAGGGCCGGCCTGGAAGGATCTCAGGTTTTAAGGGCTCCTGTCCCTGCCATGTCCCAGGGGCAGGTCCTAGGTAGGTGTGGCAGTTACTGGCTGCCTCACTGGGGCGGTGCTTCAAGGTCACAGCTGGAACAGCTGCCCACTACAGATAACTTTCTGGGTCCCCCTTGTACACATGTCACTTACATCTGGCTGATTTTAAGTGAGTTTCGAGCTTACATCTGGACTGTGGCCGGGTGCACGTGTTTTCTCCCTTTGGTGGAGTGGGGGAATTGTACTCAGGCTTTAGACACAGTGAACGGCGGGGAGCTGTCACAGGACTGCATCACCACCTGCCTTGCCTGAGCAAGCCCACTGGCTCTGGGGAAAAGGGACAGGTACCCACTATGTCCTCTTTTCAAACAGGACAGATGCCTGCATTTTCCAGACCGGGACATGGCAATAGTTTCCAGAGAGGTCGATTTTTATAGACACCAAGTCAACAGTAAAGACAGAACTGAGGATAAAAACGTATTTCTTTTAATTGGTCTTGGCTTTGATTTGTACCAACAAGCCCTGGTGACAATACAACTGGATCGTAAACAAGCATGCTGCGGGCAGTCATGTGATCCAGAGAAGACACACCCACTTTCCAGGGAGGCAACTGCTTCCCCATCCCCCGCATGCTCCTGTGCTTCGGTTCAGAAAGGTGATTGTGTCCCAGCACAAGGGAGGCTGAGGCAGGATGACCGCCAGTGTGGGGCCACATGGGATACATAATGAGGCCTTGGCGGGGTGGAGGAGAAAAAAGAAAGTTTGAAACTAAACTGCAAAAATGACCACATCCACACTACTAAGAGACTATCATCTTCCCAGGTGATCTTTAGGTCACCAGCACTAAGATTTGCTTCTCTACCAGCCATTTTACTTGAGAAAATAAACACACACCAAGGACAAAGATGTCATTCTAAACGTATTCCTTCACGTGGTAGAGCCTTCCTGCGCTGTGCACATAAGAAATAAAAGCAAAAATCTCGGCTTGGCATGACCGTGTGTGCCCACCTGTAAACCCAGCGCCCAGAGGTTGCCCTCCGCCCTGGCAGTGATTTTGGCAGGAGGTGTGCTCCCAGAATATTTACTGGTCCCTGAGGATGGGGAGCTAGCATGAAAACGCTGTGAGGAAGTTTCCACCACCGCTGCCGTATGACCCACGTGGCTGTATAACCTATCCTTTAAAACAGAAAACTGTCGGACATGTTGAACTTTTTAAATGAAAAGCTAACAGCATTTGCTGCCTTAACCCTAACCTTTTCTACATGGGTTTTAGTTTTGACTATGACTGTCAAACTGAGCATACTGTAACCATGCAACCACAAGTTACACTGCACGTGACCTATCGTGACAACAGTATAATACCTCCCTTTTCTATGGCCTAATGATAGACTTGATTAGTGAGCAGGCAAGACAGTCACTTCATTCCCATCAGGAATGTCACCCACCAGTCAGCTGGCCTGACAGCAGGAAGTGGACCCCTTGACTGTGTGAAGGAGTGAAGCCAGAGGCAGACAACTCTGCAACCCCTGTGGTAGTGACCTGCAGTCCTCTACTGGGGAGCAGCAGTGTGAAAACTGCACAAGGGTGTAGAGGAGGTGGTACCTGGGGATACCCTGAGCACAGTAGGCAAACGGTCAGTGCTCAGTGCTTGCGGGCCAGGACCGAGGCCCTGCCAGGCAAGCCTGCAAAACCAGGAGGATGTGGGCCTCCTGCTGTGCTCCAGCTCCCTCCTGAGCGGCTCCACCTCTCAGACCCAAGGTAGTTTCCTTAAACAAGGTCAACTGTGAGCAGGCTCTGCTCTGAAAAAGAAGTCAGATTTGCTCCAATGGAAGTCTGAGCGTCTCCCTGGGTTTTGCACAAATGCAAGGTCGAAGAGCCGTAGAAAACCTGTGGACACAGACGCTTGTGTTCTGGGTAACAGGCAGCTGTCAGTGCATGCACTCCCGGGCAGCCAACTTCCTGTTCTACCAAGAGCCTGGGGCCCAGACATCACTGGTGCAAGCCTTGACGTCGTTGAAGGGGAGGACAAAAGCAGGTGCAGTCAGAGAGGCCCTGGGCCCGCTCACTGAGCTTAAGAACTATGCCCGAGGCCTGGGAAACTGTGCTAATGTGGGCAGCAGCCTGGGGGGCACTGGCCCTCCTGAAAAGACACTTTGGGCTTGCTATAGAGGTAGGAAGACAGGGACAGGAACAGGCCAGGCAGAGGAGGAAAAGCCTCCGGGACAGAGTGGCTTTTCTCCACCCCACACCTGTCCACCCCCCTGCTGGTCACAAGTAGAAAAACTACACTATTGCTCATTTGGTTTCAAGAGTCATCACTAGGAGAAACAGCCGAACGCCCACAGAACGGGCCTGAAGCTGACATGCTTTCACACAACAGACCGAGACTACAAATGCCCAGAAAGGCAACCGACTGTGGCAGATGCAGCCAGGGGCACCGAGGCGAGGAGCTCCATAGACCAACAGCACTCAGTCCTTCGGGTGAGTGTGCATGCACTCAGCCAAGAACCATGGCCCGCAGCCCTGGCAAGGAGGTTCAGAACACTGGCCCCGTTCACGGGGATTTGTAAAATAATTAAAAAGCCCACATTTAAAAGTTATAATTTATAGAATATCCAGTATAAAAGCAGTCTTTAAAAAGGGACTCTGGCTCTCAGAAGAAGTCCGCAGCCCTTGGCCTTCTCTTTGGAGTGGTGGCTGGCAGCTTCATGGTTGATAGAGGCATGTTGGCCGGGGAGCTGGTTGGGGACTTCAGCACTCCATGGAGTGGCCTCTGCTCAGGGTTAAAGGCCACTCTGGAGAAGCCTGTGGGGCTGACCAGGATACTCTTGTCTGTCTTCTTAAATTCTGCCCCAAAGGAAAGTAAAGGCTATTAGTTGGATGTTACGCCTGTTCCTCCCAGGTGTGCAGGGCTCACGGCTCACATCCCCACGTCCCAGAAATGCAGAAGACACCCAGATGTATATAGAGAAGGGAACAAGTTTCACCTGGGGTTTGCTGAGGTGTGTGCGGGGGCAGGAGGGACAGCCAGCTGCCTGGGCTAGTGTCCCTCAGCAGGACCTGTCTTCACCTTCAGCTCTACAGATCGGGCTGTTTAGCTTCAGGAATGTGCTCCTCACTCCTTCCTGCATCCCCTACTCTCAAACAAAGGTGTGTGTGTGTACACATTCACTTACTGTCCACATGAATAAGGTCTTAAACTCCTATTAAACTTAAAACTAGTGGGACGTGGTGGTATATGCCTTTAATCTCAACCACTCAAAGGCAGAGGTGGAGGATCTCTGTGAGTTCCAGGCCAGCTAGAGCCACACAATGAGACTCCCCGCCTCTCTCTCTCTTTTTAAAAATATATTTTATTTATTTATTTTTATGTGCTTTGGTGTTTTGCCCACATATTTGTGTGAGGGTGTCAGGTCCCCTGGAACTGGAGTTACAGTTGTGAGCTGTTATGTGGGTGCTGGGAACTGAACCTGGGTCCTCTAGAAGAACAGCCAGTGTTCTTAACCTCTGAGCCATCTCTCCAGCCCGAGACTCTGTCTCTTAAAAAAAAAAAAAGGGTGGGTGGGGCAGGTGGTGGCGGCACACACCTTTAATCTCAGTACTTAGGAGGTAGAGCCTGGAGGATCTCTGTGAGTTTTAGGCCAGCCTGGTCTACAGAGTGAGATCCAGGACAGGCACCAAAACTAAGCAAGCACCACCTTCTTACCAGAGTCCTTTGGTTTCTTTGAAGTAATAGTACCAACAGTCCTACTACTTAGTAGGCAGCACTGCTACCAAGCCAGCAAGGAGAGGGCTTCCTTCCTCTCCCTTCTGGTCCACCAGTGGCCCTGAACTATGGCCTAGGCAGCTATAACTAAGGAACCAGGGTTTCTTAGCTTCCAGGACAGAACTAGAGGAAACCCGGAAAAATGGCTTCTCACCTCACCCTTTTCCTGGTGGCCTCAGGAGGCCCCAAGAAACTTCTCCCTGTCTTTAATCCCAACATTTGGGGGACAGAGGCAGGAGGATCTGTGAGTTTGAGGCCAACGTGGTCTACATAATGAACTGTCTCAAAAACAAACAAAACAAAACAAAACCCCTGAAATCTCTCCCTCCCTCGGCAATGCACGTCAGATCTGTGAGGCCAGAGACTTTGGCACTGCCTAACTGCCTGACCCGGGAACAGACAGGGAGAAGAGGACCTCTGGCTGCTGGAGAACCCTGAGCCACGGTTCCCACGTTGGTCCCAACGCAGTTTCCCAGAAGCCCACCCACTCACCTGCAGTCATGTTCCTGTTCAATCCAAAGGTGACTTTCTTGGAGCTGGAGGGTGTTTTATTCAGCTGCGGAACAACAAAGGAGTAACCATGGTAACACAGGTGCTCAGCCTCCTTGTCTGGATTTTTCTGAACTTACCCAGGGCAGGCCCTTGCAGTGTTTCCTACCTGCACACATACAAAGGCTAATGGGGCAGCATGCTGTGGCCTAAATAGATTCCACCACCAGACTCCTGCCCATGACCTTCACAAACCACTTTTGCACATGCATAGATTTCCCAAACTGGACACTATATTCCCAGCAAAAAAAAAAAAAAAAATGCAAAGAAGGATGAAGATGTTTGGAATTACAAATTTATCACCCCAAATTACAAGGATATATGTTAATAACCACCATTCATTTTGTCCCAGGATTTTAGAAAGGCTATTTATTATTAGTGTGTATGGTGTGTGTGAATGTGGGTGTGTATGTGACACGGTCTGTGTGTGGCTGCCAGAGGACAACAGCCCTCCCCTTCCATCGTGGGTTCTGGGGACTAAACTCAGGTTGTGAGACTTGGGTGGCAAGTCCTTATACCAGCCTAGCCATCTAGCAGGCCCAGAATTTCTAAGCTGCAACTTGTAGCTCACATACAATTGATTAGATTAGGCTTAAAATGGGGTCTAATTTCAACGGGCAATGGATATGCATGTAAAATCTTTGCCGGAGATGGCACCCAAGGCCATGATACGTGCTGAGCAAATGCTCCACCACTGGGACCCCAGCACAGAAAAACATTCCCAATGTTTTGTGCAAAGGGCCTCAAATCATCTAGATATCCCACCAATCTATCGGAGTGAATGACGAGGCTTTCTACTTGAGACGTCCCTAGACGCCAACCCACTTTGCACTCTGAGCGCTCGGCTAAGCCCTTCCTAGAACCCTGTGCCTCTTTCTGGAGTTTGCTGCCACTTGATCCCACCTATACACCCAAGGGCAGGGGTCCGACGCGGAAGCTGGGCTCTGCCATACCCCGAAGCACCTTGCTAGGTAGAATTCATCACCTGCACCCCAGAACTCCTCAGAACACCTTGTCTGCATGTCCCTGGGGAGGTGTGCTGTGGAGGGCTCACCTGGACAGCAGGACCCTGGGGAAGGACGGCAGATTTGCTCTTTGCTTTCCTGAAGAACAGGGGCTTTGGTAAGAAGCGGGTGTCAAACTTCACAAAGTCATCCTCCGTTTTCAGTGGCTTCTTCAGAGGCCTGTTGCTTCCCTGTGAGGATGAGCAGCCGGGAGGAAGGAGGATCTTATCACAGGCACCTTGCCCGGCTCACACCCACAGGGAAGGAAACCAGGACAGCACAGCAAGGGAGTGCTGGAGGCTGACCTACCCTAAGCCCCTTAGCCCACAGCCCACTGTTCCTGTAGCTCTGCCTTGAAGCCTCCTGCTCAGCGGAGCAGACCTCTCGGCACCATGCCGGCAGGGATCACCGTGTCTTCTCGGCAGTAGAGGCCGCTTGTTCGTAACTACGTTCTAACACAGGTCCTACAGACTGAATTCTTCCTTTCAAGGTCCACCTGTGAGGCGAGAACTCGTCTTTCTATTTGTGATCAGACACTACATGGGCTGCAAGTGTGGTGCGGAGGAGAAGGCTGCTACAAGGCTTTGGCTTGGGGGTCCCCACATCTGGGCAGCTGAGAGTGGAATCACCACATGGGCTGTTTGGCTGGAGCTTGGTGCCTCCCTTGCAGACGCATAATGCCGTCCGGCATGCCCCAAAGCAACCCTAGCCCAGCAACAGACAGCGGCGACTTCCCTTGGCCCCAACTAGTTAGTAATCATTCCAATTCCGAGCTCGGTTGCCAAGGGCATGAGAAACAGGCTATGAAGGAAGGAGGGGCCTCTGCCAGGGCAAGGGTGGATGGAGGCTGAGATGACATCCCAAGGCCAGCCCAGTGCTCTGCTCTCCTTCAGTAATCCTGGATCAGCCATGAACTCACCTGGTCAGAGATGGGTTTCAATGCCACAGACACTGCAATACAGTGTGCATATGCACTGGTGCTGAACAGGGTCAGATGTCTCCCTGAAAAGCCAGGGAGTCACTGTTTTGGTGGCTTGGTGGCCACAGCAATGAACACATGGTGTGGTGTGTTCGCCATACGTGCTGACCCGGGCACAGAGGCAGTGTGCTTCCTAGACATGACAAAATTCAAGAGCCCGGTCCTCCTTTACCGCTCTAGCAGCTCACTGAGAAAGAATATCCTTTCGTTAATCGCAAGTGAAAGAGGCCCAGGCTTCCTCTTTGCCACAGGGGCTGGATGGGTAGCGGCAGGGGACAGAGCAGCTCTGGATGGAGGCCTGACTGACAGTGTCTCGGCTCTGTGCTTACCTGTCTGACCGATGAGACATCGGGTCTGTGAGGGAAGAGGTGGGAAGTATGGTGTGAATGGATCACTGCACTCGGCCACCTCGACAGAAACCTGTCATCTGCATGATGAGCTGTTACAAAGCAGTGTATTCTGGCTGTCGCTTCCCTGAGGTCTGGCTGTCCCTATGCCCTGCCCCTAACAGACCGCTGAGTCCTCTGAGCACGCCTGTTCAAGCCCAGCACCCAAGCGCCGGCACTTCCCACCTTACCGGAGCTTGGATCCGCCCGGCGCTGGACTCTAGCACTCCGTTGTGCTCCATGAAGTCTGACGTCTGCCTCATTTTTTTCCTCTTCTTTAAGATTGCTGTTTTCTGACTGGACAGATCATAGAGGTCAAGCCGGCTGGACACTGCCTTCTTCTGTGGCCTTTTGCACTGGGGCAGGGTGGTCTGGCCATCTCTCTCTTCCCCGGGACTTATGGGGGCGCCTGCCTTCTGCACTGTCAAGCCGCCGCTGCTGATAGGGAGAGCTCCGAGTTTCCGTTTCCTCTTCTGGGCTTGGACACCTGAGGAGGAAACTTGGGTGGCAGAGCTCTGAGGTTGGCCACCGATAGGGTCATTCTCTGACACATCCTCCTGAGGTAACTCGGTAGGTGTCCAGATCTCTCTGTGGGCCCTCAGGCTCTTCTTTCTTGGCCGTTTCCTTTTATTGTGTATGGGTACGATGGGTGTTGGCTCAGAGCTGTTCTCTCTGATGCTAGACGTGGTGTCTGCTGCAGGTCCAGTCACACAGGCCTGTGGGGTCTGCCTCTGGGCAGTGTCAGGCTCATTGTTGGTACTCTGTGCTGGGGGCATGGCAACAGCATCCAGGTCCTCAGTCTCAGCCTGGAAGTGGCTTCTCCTCTTCTTTTTCCTTTTCCTTTTGTGAATGTTGCCTCCGCTGTCCTCTCCACCATCAAGAGAGATTGTGCTTCCTACAAAGATGCAGACCAATGAGTGACTGGCCCTGCTGGTGACTCTTGGGCAGACTGGCAGCCAGGGTTATTTTTATTTATTTATTTATTTTTGAGATAGGGTCCCATGTAGCTCAGACTCGCCTCAAACTTGCTGTACAGCCAAGGCTGCTGTAGGGAAACCCCGGTCATCATGGCTGCCTCTCATGGGTGATAGGAATATAGGTGTACTGCATCACAGCACACTCCTTTAGAGGCCGGGTCTCACCAGAGTTGTTACAGTCTGGAATTCAAGTATCCCCATTGGTGGGTTGGGCAGACGGCTCAGTAGGCAAAGTGCTTATCGTCAAAGGGAGAAGACTTGAGTTTGGATCCATAGCACCCACATAAAAAGCTAAGTGTGGTGGTGGCATGCACCTGTCACCCAAGTGCTGGGGATGGTGGGTGTCCAGGGTAGAACAGGTGGATTCCTGAAGCTCAATGGCCAGTCAGCCTAGCCAAGCTGCAGAGTGCCAGAGCAAGTGAGAGCTTTTGTCACAATGGAGGATGACACCTAATGTCGACCCCTGGCCTTGGTGTTTGTGAACCTGCATATACCTGCTCACACATACTAGGCACATGTATCTGAGCACTCGGCCTGAGGCTGTAGAACCTTTGGGAGGTAGGCCAAGTTGGAGGAAGTCTTTGAGGTTTACAGTCTGACTCTGTAGTTTCCTGTGTCCCCTTTGCTTCCTGGCTTGCTCAGACATAAGCAAGCTGCTTTATGCACCTGCTGCCAAGCCTTCGCGCCGTGTGCCCTGAACTGTGAGCCCACACAAGCCTTCCTCCTTTACGCTACTTCCCGTCAGGCTGTGGTCCCAGCAGCCCAAGCTGGCCTGTCTAATGTGCTGCAGTCCTTAGGTTCCGGAGTGCTGAGGTTACAGAGCCCAGCTGAGACTACTCTCTTGTGGTGCTGGGATGGCACCTCGGGCCTGACACATGCTGAGAAAGGCCTCTGCCACTGAACCCACTTCTAGTCTCTGGATCTTGCCACCTTCACCACCAGAAAGGTTCTGACCTCGGCCAGCTTTGTCAACTAGTCCCACTTCTCTCCTCCTAGGACCAGAAAGCTTCAAGTGTATCTCGGTAGAAAAGAGTAAATGGCAAGGTTTTCAATCGTTATTTGTTTTTCTGTATTTTTAAAACTTATTTTTATTTTGCTTCATATCTATGTGTGCTGCACGCAGAGGCCAGAAGGTGTTGGATGCCCTGGCAATGGCGTTACTAAGAGTTCTAAGCTGGTATGTGGGTGCGAGAGTAGACCACTGGGTTATCCCCCAGCCCCTAGTTATTTATTCTGTGCACATGCACATGTGGCGTTGAGAGGACAACCTGTGGGCATCAGTCATCTCCTTCTCCACGTGGGTCCTGGGGATCGAGCTCAGGGTTGGCAGTAAGTGCCTTTTTCTGCTGATCCTCCCTGCTAGCCCAGGTTTCCAATAATGTTAAAGTCAGAAGACACACACACACACACACACACACACACACACACACACACACACAAGTGTTGCCATACACACACACACACACACACACACACACGCACGCACGCACGCACGCACGCACGCGCACACACACACACACAATAGTGTTGGAATCCTATTCTTTCCCCAGGCCACCTAAAGCTGCCATCCAAGAGCAGACGCCTCTGCACACACAAGATCAGAACAGCGGCTGCACAGAAAATAACAGAACCCAGGAAATCTGTGGGTATGATGCTGCATAGCACCCCAGCATGGGGTGGAGGCAGGAGATCATGAGTTTGCGGCAAACCTGGGCTACATAAGAGGTCTCTATTTCAAAGAACCTCCCCTCTCCCAACCACACCAAACTAAACCAAATCCCAAAACACACACTGAAACTTTTTGTTATGCCAATGATTCATGAGAACACTGGCTCATGACTCCCCAGAGCTCAAGGTCACAGAGCTACCTGGATGTGAGCAAGAGGTGAGCCTTTCTTTTCCAGCCCTGAGACTTAAGGCTTTGCAGCTTACCTTTCTCCCGATCCAGGGCAGCTCTCTCTAGAAGCTTCTTTCTTTTTTTCTTGTGCCTTCTTTGACTGAGGGCTTGACCATTTTCATCAGCAGTAATGTCCTCAGCAAAACTGAGTTGAGCACCATTGCCTGCTGGGTTCCAAAGGGACACTGGTCAGCTTCTGAGGTCTTTTTGCATCTGTTGCAGCAGCCCAGGTCCTGGGCTCCTCCCTCAGCCTCCTGAGCCTAACTTCTGCGGCATCACCTGGACTACCACTGCTTTTCCAAGTGAACGCAAAGGCTCTTGACCAGAATACACACTGGATGATGACTGGCGGGCTTCTCAGGCTAGTCAGCTTTACATTTCCTCTGGCTCTGTGAGCCCACCCAGTGAGCAAGGACAGAAGAGCTGGCTCACTGGCCTGTTGTAGACTATTATTATTTTTATTTATTTATTTATTTATTTATTTATTCATTCATTCATTTATTTATTTGGTTTTTCGAGACAGGGTTTCTCTGTGTAGCTTTGCGCCTTTCCTGGAACTCGCTTTGGAGACCAGGCTGGCCTCGAACTCACAGAGATCCGCCTGGCTCAGCACTTTAATCCTGAGTGCTGGGATTAAAGGCGTGTGCCACCACCGCCCGGCATAGACTATTATTTTAAGATGTGTTACATTTCTTTATGTTGTGGAATATTTGTTTAATGGTGCAAAGATGTGTTGCATTCTTTTATATTGAACTTGTTTAACTTTGTGAAGCTGTGTTACTGTGCCTGTCTAAAACACCTGATTGGTTTAATAAAAAGAGCAGAAAGGCCATTAGCAAGGCAGGAGAAAGGACAGACAGAGCTGGCAGGCAGAGAGAATAAACAGAAGGAAAAATCTGGGAGGAGAAAGAAGAAAGAGTAAGGAAACGAGAGGAGGATGCGAGGGGCCGGTCATGGAGTAAGAGTGAAAGTAAGATTACAGAATTAAGAAAATGAAAAAGCCCAGAGGCTAAAGGTAGAGGGGATCATTTAAGTTAAGAAAAGCTGGCTAGAAACAAGCCAAGCTAAGGCTGGGCACTTTATAAGTAATAGTAAGCCTCCGTGTAAGATTTATTTGGGAGCTGGGTGGTGGGGCCCCCAAAAGAGCAAAGAATAAAAACAACCAACAACACTGGCCTACTCAGATTTACCAAGTTTACAGCAGCATACCCTGGGGACATGCATCCTAAAAGAAAATGAAAGGTCCTGAGAGACCAGGATTTTCTTCTTGACAAAGAACTGTAATCTTCCTAGCCCAGTTTAAAACAAAACAACAACAACAACAACAACAAAAATGAGTGTTTTGCCTGCATGTTGGTGTATCATGTGTATTGCTGGTGTCCACAGTGGCCAGAAGAGGGCACTGACTGGATCTCTATGTGGGTTCAGAATTGAACGTGGGTCCTCTAAAAGGGCAGCCAGTGCTCTTAATCACCTCTTCTGCCTTCCCTTCCCCATTAAAAACTTAACTGTAGAAAGCACAAATAAAAACTCAAATAAATACCACAAGACCCACACAGAGGAAGCACCAGATGGATGGAAAGTGGGTGCAAAGGGTCTTGCACCTGTGGCACTCCCCTGGGCAGTCCCTTAGGTATGCCGGGTGAACCTGATTGATGGTGGCCACCCCATAAGTCACTTTCCCATGAAGGCCTGCAATCCCACTTCTCAGAATATGGCAGGGACGCCATTGGTGGAGTGTGCATTGGGTGAGAACATTGTGACTTACAGTCCAACTCTTCTTACCTTCAGAGAGGTCCTGGAACCTGAAAAGAAAAGAACATGTGGAGTTCAGAACGTTCAAGACACAGGTTCTGAACATAAAGCAGGAATCTGGACACACATTCCTCATCCTCTCCTCCACAGGGGAGGCTAGGAACAGCTCTACCTAGGGATGTGATGCGTCAGTAAGAAAAAAGCCAGGACAAAGGAACCCCAATTTCACCAACATTGCAAGGGACACAGAGGCTACAGAGTCTCTCTTGGCACACAAAACGCCCAGAGCTCCAGCGCCTTCCTCACTTGTGTCGGAAGGCAGACAGCTCAGCACTGCTTATGTCCAGGGGAGACTGGTGGAGGGTTCTCTTTATGCAACTTAATGCACTAAACCCAATAAACAAAGCTGAGGATATGCAGGATGTGCGTAGGGCTGGGCTGGGTAGCTGGGGCAGGCAGGTTGCTCCAGCGTCCACACTGGACACCCTGACACACCTTTAGTGACCCAGCTTTAAGACACGGGAAATTATAAATGCTATCTTCTAAAGTGTTCTTTCTTATAAGCCATTTTTTGGTGTGTGTGCATGTTTGTATGTGAGCACATGTGCATGTAGGGGTCAGAGGTTGACGCTGGTATTTTCCTGAACCACTCTCCACTTTACACATGGAAGCTGGTCTCTCACTTGAACCCAGAGCTTACCAACTTGGCTGGTCTAGCTAGTTTGCTCTGAGAGTCCCATCTCTGCCTCCCAAGCAAGTGGGCCTCCACAGCTGCCCAAAACTTCCCTGGGTACTGAGGATCCAAACTCTGGCCCTCATGTTCGCACACATGTGGTAAGCCCTTTACCCACTGGACCGTGTCCCTAGCTCCTTTGAAAGGCATTCGTAACATAAAGGACGAGCTCAGGCCAGTGCTTGCTAACCCAAAGGAGGCGACCAGACAGCTGTTATCTGTAGTCAGTCAGAACACACCAACCGGCTTTCTGGCCAATCATCTTTTATGTCACCATGGTCCTAAAGACACAGATGCTAACTACCAGACTACCTGACCCCTTTGGCACAACCCTGCTGGGAGGTGAGCGTGAAGGTGGCTAGCTGAACCCTTTGGTACGCCAACAGGTGACACCCGAGGAGTACACTGGCACCACTACCCTACAACTGTATGGGATGAGCAGGGTTGCCTCCTTCCCCGACTTTGGTTCACATGTTTGCTACGTTGCTAATGAATAAAATGACAAAGGATAAGGAGTTTGGTTCTTGGTACCCCCAGTGGGTGACTCACAACTGCCTGTAACTCCAGCTTCACACTCTCTTCTGGCCTCTTCAGGCGCGCGCGTGCGCGCGCACACACACACACACACACACACACACACACACAAATAGAAACAAATACATTTTAAAAAGAAGAAGGAAAAAAAAAGCATGTGGGTGAGTGCTGGTCCAGTGGTACGGCCATGGGCTCTCAATCACTACTTACTTTCGGATCAGTCTGCAGAGGCGCTTCCGGTTGAAGGGAGGGGTGCTCTTTGAGTTGGCTATTTCCGAGAGTCGATCAGCAACTGCCTTATAGTCGAACTACCAAGAAGAGACAGGCACATGAGTGGTAGTCAAACATCCAGCCTATTCAAGTTGCCCTCTGGGTGCCCTGGGAGTAGTCCTCTCCTGACTGTGGTCTCATACCCAGAGCAAAATTTGCCTGCGGAGCTTCTTATGTTCCTCCGGGTTCTCAATCTTAGAACCTATAATACTCTTAATTTGTTTTGAAAGTACAACTAGGTACACTGAGAGTGTGGTGTCGCACGCCTTTAATCCCAGCACTCGGGAGGCAGAGGTAGGTGGACCTCTGTGAGTTCGAGGCCAGCCTGGTCTATAGAGCAGCAGTTCTAGGATAGCCAGAGTTACATAATAGAGGGACCCTGTAACAAACCACCAACCAACTATCAAAACTGGGAGCTTGGCATGGTGCTGCATGCCTCTATTCCCAGCACTTGGGAGGCAGAAGGATTGCTATCAACTCCAGCCTAGACTACATAGCAAGATCCCGCTTCAAAAATGAAATCAAAAACGCCTGAACAGTACCAGAAGAGCTGGAGCTGCTGCACAGAGGCAATCAGACAACCATGATTAGAAAACGAGGATTAGTGTCTTTCAAAATCCCACCTCGTGTACTTATTGCTCTCTATTCTTGAGATGGGGTCTCTCTATGTAGCCTGGGCTGGCCTGGAACTTGCTCGGAGATCTGTCTACTTCTGCCTCCTGAGTGCTGGGATTAAAGGTGTGTGTCACCATGCTTGGCTTCCTCTTGTGTTTTTGAAACAGGCATTTACTAGGTAGTCCAGGCTAGTCTTGAACTTGAGACCCTCCCATGTGCCGAGATTCCATGTGTGCGACACCATGCCAACCTAAAATCTCATTCTTTTAAAATTGTTCCCAACAAGCTCATTCTAAGAATGGTGACATTAATTACAGAAGGGATTATAAAGGACTTTACAGTTCAGGCCCTATGGCTTAATGAGCTCTGACCCTAATTCTCCAGCCAAGCACCCCCAGTCAACCCACATTCTATAAAAGGCAACAGCCGCCCCCACCTGGAGAGGTGACCCTGAGTCTTTGAAGGCCGCACAGCCGTCTCTTTCTCTGCTGCCAACGACTCCATCTCTGAGGCAATCGCCCAGCGCTGCCAAAATACACCCAAAGACAAAGACAAAATCTTGACATTCGAGAATAGATGTGGCTCAGTCTCTTCAGGCTCTGGGTTCAATCCCCATTACCAGGGAGAAAAATAAAAACGGTACCAGCAACTGCTGCCTAGGGAGATGTGCGGGTTAGTCTCTTAAAAATGCCTGTTTTTTATTTTCTATGTAAAGCTCAGGTTTTAACCCCAGTACTAGCCCCACACTGAACAACTCTACCCCCTCCAAAAAATAACTAAAGACTCCTGGAAGGAAGCTGTGTGCCAGAGGGGACCACAGCAACACAACCTGACTGCAGGGCAGCTCTCACAGGCACAGGCCAAACACTTCCCAAAGGTGAGCTCCTAGGAGGGACAGAAGCAGCTGGGCCTGTGTGAGTGGTGTTGGGCTTCTCCCCGGGGCCCCGGATTGTGCACACGTGTCTCTATGTACCCTGCTTCATCTTTTGGGAGGCTATATTCAGTGAGGTGCCAACAAAGTGCTGGGGAGGCTGTCAGGCAAGTGCATCCCACGCAAGTGCAAGGGCCTGGGTTCAATCCTCAGAATCCACATGAAAAAGGCTGGGCATGGTAGCACAGGCTGGTAAGCTCAGTACAGGGAAGGCAGAGACAGGTGGGTCCCTGGGACTCACTGGCCAGCCACTCTAGCCTAATTAGGCATCTTCCAGGCCAATGAGGAAACCCATCTCAAAATAAGAGGTGCATGAAACCTGAGGAAGGACTCCCAGTGCTGACATTTGGCCTCCACATGGAAGTGTACACACATGCACACACCCATAGACAAAACAATATCCACAAACAAGCAAACCCCCGCTAACCTGCAAAGAAAAGAACATAAAGAAATGCTCTCACCGGCCTTCTTCCCACTGCCTGCTTTCCTACAGGCCAGCTTGTTTGCAGGGATCCCTTCGGCAGAGCGGCCACCATCTCCCACTCTGGTTTTCTGCTCTTCCACAGTCTCTTCAGGTACAAAAGCAGACTGATCTACAATGACTTCAAAAACACCCCTAGCTATAGTCTGTACCAGTGTGTGGCTGAGGGTAGAAGCACAGCAGAGAGAATGTGATTAAAACACTCAACTGGAGCCTGTGCAGAGAGGAGCGAAGTGGAGAACAGCCCAGGGAAGTGCGTGCCTGTGCATGTGCTGCCTGGGGCCCGGTGTGCCCACCACTGCAGATTCAAGGAACCACCACGTGCCACAGGGCAGACAGGAATCTGGTGTGGGAGAGCGTCCTGGAGTGGCCAGCCAAGGGCTGTGGCAGGGACCAGAACCTCTCCTTCCTTCCTTCCTTCCTTCCTTCCTTCCTTCCTTCCTTCCTTCCTTCCTTCCTTCCTTCCCTCCCTCCCTCCCTCCCTCCCTCCCTCCCTCCCTCCCTCCCTCCCTCCCTCCCTCCTTCTGAGCAGGGTCTTACGGTGTAGCCTGAGCTGGCCTGGCTTCAGGCCTGTGAGGGGTATTTGGAATGGGTGCTCCTTATTCTAGATAAAGCCTGGCATTGTGCTGTACAATAGAACCCCACCCTCAGGCACCAATGAAAGCAGTGAGGACACGTGAGCCACTTACTCCTTGGTCTTGGCAGCAATTCTGCAGAATGGATCAATTAACTTGAGGTTCTGATCCGCTAAAAGCTGTAATTTAGAAATAAAACAGAGGGCAAATGAGGGAAAGATAGGCTTTTCTCTTTTCAGACATGTTCCTGCCCTCTCCCAGGTCAGATCAACTGCCCACCGGCCTGAGCTAGCTTCTCTCTGGTCTTGTGGGTGTTTTAGTTCAGTGACCCAAAGAACCATCAACTGGTCAGGGCTGTGCTGCAGCACTCACGTCCTGAGACAGCTGGGTGTGGTGCCTGCCCAGCAGTGGGCCCTGGCTATCTCCAGAACTGCAGGGAAAATATGAGTTCTATGTGGATGCCATCTCAGAGCATGAGACAAAGGCTTTTTTTTTTTTTTAAATTTTATTCATTCATTCATCCATCAACTTAGTGTGTGTGTGTGCATGTGTCGCCCCTCTCTTAAAAATACACCATTTATAATTTCTTTTACTTTATATACATACACAAGCTTCACTACAGAACGTCAAAGAGAATAGTAAAAATTGTTTATATCCCCTAACTGAGATAATCATCTTTATCTAAAAGTACACCTTTTCTTTCCAGCTTTTTATCTATTTATATTAGGCATAATCTGCACAGTGTTGTCTACTGCCTTTCCCCCACAGCTTCTAAAATACTCAGTATGTCATGATTGTTTCACATCAGACTCTGTAAATTGTTTTTAACTCTTTCTACAGGGGAAGAGGCAGGGTCTTGTTCTGCAGTACAGGCTGCCCTGGAACATGAGATTTAGCTGCTTCAAATGCTCAGATGATAGACATATGTGTACCCCCATGCCTGAACTTAGGGCTCTCGTACTCCTGGCAAATGACTCTCCTGCCTCAGCTCCTCCAGCAGCTGTGTATGGCTCAATCCTACTTTATAGGTAAGACTGCTATAGAGACATAGTGTGGTGGTGTGCTGTCTAAACGTCCACTAGCTGTCCGAGACGCAGTCGACTCCAGAAGAAGTTACAGAGGTGGCTCCTTCTGACAGTACCCATGGTGGCCCCGAACATGGTGGTCCCATCACACTGCTGGCTGATGGCGCTGCTTCTCACCTCTCTCCCTCCCACAGTGGAGAGCTCATCCAAATAAACGTCAATCAAGTGGGATCTCACTCCATCGGGAGACTGACTCTCGGGATTCAGGATCTCCTTCATCAAGATGTCCAAAAAAAGTTTGATTTGGCTAGAGAACAACAAAAAACAAACCAACCACACGGTTTTGTTTTGTTCTGTATAAAAAGACATTATCACCGATACCCCCCTGTTCTCAAAGAGCAGACAAAAATAATGAGTTTCCTGCTCATTCTGCAGAACAATCACTCTGAGGCCTAAGGGGAAGAAAACAGTTACTCTGATGAGTATCAACTGACTTTACCACTCCACTGGCTTTAAACCCCCTTTGGATCAGATCTATTTTGCTTCTCATAGGACTACATAGTGGTAGGCATAGATGAGCCAATTCATGCTTTTGATTACCTGAAATCTTAGAGGACCCTATTATTCTATAAGGATTTTTTGGGGGGCACTAAGGATCAAAATTAGGGCCTCATACCCATTAGGCAAGCACTCTACCACTGAGTCACCTAGCAACTCTGACATGCTTCTAATGTCACCATGTTAATGTCCATAGTTCACCAACCTTTCTTCCCAGGCATTCCGCTTGAGAACTTCAAAGCATTGCCTCAGGACCAGGCGGATCAGCTAAAGGTTGGCATTTTTATAATAAAAGAAAAGAGGAGTCATCATCTTGGCAGAACAAGGAGCCCCACAATGGATCCCCGAAGTGAGACAACATCCTTAAATCTATTGTAATCCCTGAATCAAAAACACTATGTGCCTGGACCCAAGAGCCAGACACCAGCCTGCACAGCATACAGAGACTCCGCCTCACAACCCCCAGAAAACACAACTCAAGATATGACCACTGCATTCTGCCACACCGTGCCTGGCTTTCCATTGTTCTCTTGCTGGGGATGGAAGCCAGGTCTCAAGAATGCTGGCAGGGCAGCTCTTGTCCTAGAACCTCACAGCCACGTCCTGGGGTGTCGTTTACCTTTTCCCCAACAGCCTTTCTCCCTCTTAACTCTAGTGTTTACAAACTATATTAAGATCATTAGCCACAGCCGGGCAGTGGTGGCGCACACCTTTAATCCCAGCACTCGGGAGACAGAGCCAGGCGGATCTCTGTGAGTTCGAGGCCAGCCTGGACTACAGAGTGAGTTCCAGGAAAGGGGCAAAGCTACACAGAGAAACCCTGTCTTGAAAACCCAAAAACCAAAAAAAAAAAAAAAAAAAAAAAAAAAATTAGCCAGGTGGTGGTGGTGGTGTATACCTTTAATCCCAGCACTTGGGAGGCAGAGGTAGGCAGATATCTGAGTTCAAGGCCAGCCTGGTCTATACATACAGTGAGTTCAGGACAGCCAGGGCTATTACACAGAGAAACCCTGTGAAAAAACCAAAACTAACCAACCAACGAACCAAAACTCCCCTCCAAAACCCTCTTGGCAAACTCCAAATCAGCTTCAAAAAGAGAAAAGAGTAAGAAAAAAACGGCAGGTAAGAGGTCTACCACTGAGCGGCACCCCCAGTTCTCTGCCCGCCTTCTAACAGAACATTCCGTGTAGAAGCTCAAGTCAGTGTGGAGGAAGGCACCACCTTACCATGTAGTACTTGTCCAGCCGCAGCTTGTCTATCCCTTGCCACTCTCGATTCATGGTTTGCCAGAAGGTCTGAATGAACAGGTGTTCTGCAAGAACAAGGGTTCTCAGGGCTCAGTTGCCACAGGAGCACACAGCTAGAAGGAAGCAGCTGAAAGCACACCTGGTTCTCTTTGCAGATCTATCTCAAGACTTCTTGGGCAGACGGAGTATGCTCAATAATTTCCTTTATAGCTACATAAGGACATTACAAGGTGATACGATCGGCATCTCCTAAGCAGACTGTCCCCCAAAGCACTGCTCTTTATCCGCACCAAACTCACATTCCTATTACGAGTTCTCTGAAGGCGCCCAATGGCCCTCTCTACTACAGCTGCACCCGACAATCAATCCCAATCTATTAATTTTGATGAGCAGCCTTACAATTCATGTATAAAGGTAGATCTTTTTCTGATATTAGGTGTTGCCCGAGTGAGACACGGAACAAGTTATTTAAGTCACAGAACTACCATCTTTAAAATTGGAAATCTTTCCTTATTTACTGATTTTTGAATGTCTTCACTTCCTTTTACATAGGGTTTGGCTGTTACCCAGGCTGGCCTGGAGCTCACAAACCTCCTGCCTCAGCCTTTTGAATGTACCACCATGCCCAGCACAATTTATTAGCAAATGAAATCTTTACTATACAACAAATGCAGATTTTACATGTTGCAAGTCAGCTAGAACTGAGAGGACCAACCAGGGTCACTGGAGCGGAAAATGTCAACCAGAACGAACTGCTGCCCACCTTCTTCTTTTACACAGAGAAGAGTGACTTTACACTTTACTACAGTGCTTTATCGCCATGGTGGCGCTAATCTTGGCCAGGATGAATCTGCCAGGTTACTGTATGCACTGGCATATGTGCCACCGCTTCTAAGTGTGAGAGTAACTTGAATTTGGAGACTTTGGAGGAGTGGTGATCAGTCTTTGGATGCCAAACGATCTCTATTCACTTAGCAGCTGACATCAGGCACAGCAGTCTTGAAAACAATTCACAGCACGTAACATCTGTACAATGCCAGCAAGAGGCTCCCACATCCCTAACACCTAGGGGACCCAACTTCACGGGAGGGAGGCACTGACTAGGTTCCCCAGGTAAGCTACCAACCCTGCTAACAAGGAAAGCTGAAAGCCAGGAAAACGGCAGGACTTACGAGCCTGGGAGCTGTTAACAACATGGATGAGTTGGGAAATAATGTTCGCGAGCTCCTCCTGCAAAGGTGGGTCGGGGAGAAACATGGGTTATTAGGAGGTCACGCTGTGGTGACGGCAGTGCTGTGGGCTGTACCCTCCTCCCTCTGTGGTGAGAAAGCCTGCGCCTAGTCTAGGTCTGTGGCTGACACACCTGGGTTTTATTAAATGTGAAACTCCAAACTTTAGTCAACTACTGGGTTAATGCGATATTTCTGAAAAAAAAAATCTAACACTATGTGCTCAAGAAAGCCTCTCTGGTTAAGAGGTTGAATGATTCCAAGAAAAATAATCTCACTGCCAACTTCTGCCCACCCCGCTTCCCTTTTTGAGACAGGATTTCTCTCCATAGCTCTAGCTGGCCTCAAACTCACAGAGATCTGTCTGCCTCTGCCTCTGAGCACTGGGATTAAAGGCGTGCATTACCACACCCCACCCCTGGATTTAACATATAAACTCAATACAATCTATCATAAAAGCCAGAAGGTACAGCACCACCTTGCTGGTGCTTGTGCACTAGGGTTTTCACTCCAGTCTTCTGCTAGACCTTGTTGGCTGGAATGTAACAGACTCCTCTAGGTTGTGCTCTGGGCAAAACTGAAGAGCATGCGGAGGCACAGTAGACTCCATTTGGCAGAACTAAGGGGCTGGGCCTAGGAAGAAGCCTTCCATCTTCCAGCTACCTGAAGATGAGCGCCCTTACTGGCCCTGCTCACGTCTCCTGTGCCCAGAGTTCCTTATTCATCTTGAATGGATTCCAAGACATGAAAATGATGTTCCTTTTTGTTAGTTCTCTTCCTCCACTAAAGCTGCTTGTTGCTACTTCTGAATATAATCTTACAATATTTTGCCCTGCTATCCCACTCAAAATATGTTCAGTGGAATCAACACAGTGAACTGGGGCAAGTCACTACATGTCCTGGGAAGAGTAGCAAGGCTTCCTAGACAAGGTAAGTGCTACCCAGGAGGATTCTACCCTGGGGCTGTGTGTTGTGACCCACACCACCCTGCATCCTGGGGGGGGGGGGGGTCTAGTTTCAGACAGCAGAACAAAACTCTTCTATGGTTGTACTGGTGGCAGCCTCAGTGGGCAGGGAGAAAAGCTCGACTGTGTATTCTGGCCACCAGTGCAGCCACTTGGCACCACAAGGCACTTTAGCCACAGGGCCTGGCTGCTTGCTTGGGCACTAGGCCCTCTGGGACATTCACCAGGCCCCCGCTGTGCTTCTGACCCTGCATCAATGTAAGAGAAAGCGGACACATTAAAAACGTTGTGTAAAACCTACCATGGAAGCTATGAAATGATGAGAGCAATAGGTAGTCTATGACCTAGCATGTCCGATATGTCTGGAAGCACAGCCTAAGTGCCTGCTGCCCCTTCCTGAGGGGACAAGAGCTGAGACAATGGCTCCTTGAAGCATTCACTTCCATCTGTTTGGGGATGGCAGCAGACTGGCGGAGCATGAACGATCAAGTCTCTTATCCACCATGGCAAAGGTCCAGGAATATGACGAGGGGCTGTGTTACCTGCAGAAGGGGCTCGTCCTGTACCCACATGCAGTAGAAGAGTCCTTTCCATATTTTTAGGAGTTCTTCCTGACTGAAACTTCCTGTGGGAGAGAATGGCACAACCACCTTAGAATCTATACTCCTTCCTTAATGTTTACAGATGCTACGATACAAGCGGCAAAATTACCGCATACATTCCCTTCCTCTGCACACCTTTCCCTAAACCTGAAGCACACCTCATGCTAATGGCTAATGTTCCAAGCATGCCATGTACACAGGTAACCACTACTGCACAGGTGTCGCTATCAGCCAAAGGAGGGTGGCAATGGGGGCAAGTCCTTATCACCAAGTGTGACAATAAAACCAACCCATACACCTGGTAGACCAGTTGCCAAGCACATATAGGCCTTGAACTCATCCCCTGAACCAATGAGGGAAGAAAGGAAGCTTCACTGATCTTAATGACGGAAAACTCCAAGTCCTATAAAAGATGCAAGGTTCTCCAGTCACTAAATGGCCTATCAAGTGGCAGAACCATTCCCAATCCACTCCCAAGGACACGATGGGCCAGTGAGCATCACAGTTTTGCCGAGGGGTACTTTTAAAAGGGTCCTGCTACAGGCAAAGGTCAGCCATGCTCCATCTTCTCATTGTGCCAGCCATCATTTCCTGGGCAGTTCTTCACACAGCGTCAGCCTGTTGGAAGTGGCATGCCCTGGAGGGGTCCTGGGCCTGTTCCAGGTGTCGGGAAGCAAAGATGACCATGGATGAGGAGGCTGGAGAAGCAGCAGCACTTTAGGCTGACGTGCCTCACAAGGTCTCTATCTGTGTGAGTAGAAAGCAACACAGTCTTTTTAGCAGTACACTGGGACCAACAAGCCGAAGAAAAACAAGTTTTGTTCGTTCTGAGACGGGGTTCTCTGTATAACAGCTCTGGCTGTCCTGGAACTCACTCTGTAGACAAGGCTGGCCTTGAACGCTCAGTAATCCGCCTTCCTCTGCCTCCTGAGTGCTGGGATTAAAGGTGTGCATCACTATGCCTGGCTGTTTGCTTAGCTTTCTAAGACATGGTCTTGTTACTTAGCTCAGGCTGGCCTTGATATTTATGATCCTCCTGCCTCTGTGTTCCACCTCACACAGGTGGAGTATTAGTTTAAGATGTGTTTCATTCATTCATGTTGTGTAATATTTGTTTAATGATGCAAAGAAGTGTTGCATTCTTTCATGTTGCATTTGTTTAACTCTAAAACACCTGATTGGTCTCATAAAGAGCTGAATGGCCAATAGCAAGACAGGAGAGAGAAGTAGGTGTGACTGCCAGGCAGACAGAATAAATAGGAGGAGAGATCTAGGCTCAAGAGGAGAGAGGAGGAAAAAATAAAGAGGGAAAGGAGGACACCAGGGGTCAGCCATGGAGTAAGAAGGGAAGGGAGACATATATATATATATAAAGAAAGAAAGGTAAAAGCCCAGGAGTGGAATGTAAAGAGAAATGGGTTAAGTTAATTTAGAAAAGCTGGCGAGAAACAAGCCAAGCTAAGGCCAGGCATTCATAAGTAAGAATAAGTTTCCACGTATTTATTTGGGAGCTGGTGGCAGGCCTCTAAAGAGTTTAAAAAAAAACAAACAAACCCAACTACGCACACAACCAAGTACATATTTGAATCCAGTGTGCTATGAACTGTAAAAGACATTGTTAAAATGACAAAGAACCCTTGTAAGGGACTAATGGGTCTGAGGTGTACTCAGTGAGCAAACTTCATTCTGTGACTGATTTCCAACTTACTGAAGAGTCAGCCGTCTCTGGGCTGGGGAGATGGTGCAGTAGGTGAGACCATCTGTGAGGCAAGCATGAGGGAGGACCTGATTGAGTCTTCAGTTCCACATAAAAGCTATGTGCGCCTGTGATGTCCAACTGTCAACCCAACCTAGCAGAACCACGAAGGTTCGGAGTCAGAGACCCCGTCTTTTAGAGAATAGGGTGGAGAGAAAGTGAGGCCAAACTACATCCTCCCACGGCTTTCACAAGTGCATGCATGCACACGCACCTCACAAACATTCCCCCCAAAAGGTTCTTAAAAGAGGCCTATCTCCTTTCAATACCTTTATAATGTTGCATTTTGATTCTTTTGTGACAGTTTTCCACTTTAAACCAAGATGGCAAGTGTGGCAGCACATGCCTTTAATCCCCATACAGATGCAGGCAGAGTCCCAGCCAAGGCTACGTAGCAAGACTGTCTCATACAAAGAAACCACCCACAAATCCCAAACACCAGGATAACAGAAACCATAGTAGAGTTAGCTAATCAAAGCACATTTCCTTAAGGAGCCACACAGATGATGTGCCAACCAGCCTCTCTCAGAAATGTAAATATGGTGCACATCCCCAGCTGCAGCTCCGATGGCCGACTTTTCTTGTGGTAACCTGCACCCTTGTTGATCACACTCTAAGATTGCACATGTCCCTGGAGAACTGGTGGATCTGTGTAAGGACTGATGACTGCAGAAACCACTTTAGACCACTTGGGTCAGATCCCACCCAAACCATCAGTTGGAACTTATCACAGAAAAAAACCAAAACCAAAACCAAAAATAACCACACAGACCAGACTAAGTAATCTAAAAAATCTGACTTGTACCTCTGATGACTAGTTTATAGAAACTAGGAGCAGAGATACATGTTAAATAGACGAGGGTATGGCATTCTAGAAGACAAATGACCTGCATTCCACAACAAACAGCACAGGAAAAAAAAAAGATAAAGAACTGCTGGAAATGAAGTCTGCACATATTCCAGTCAAAACAGTCTTGTTTGGACTGACATAAAACAGAAAAGATGGTGAGAAAAATTCAGCATGACATCAAGATTTTTTTATCTGTGTGGATTTTTTTTTTTTTTTTTGTGAAGAGTCTTGCTATGTAGCCTAGGCTGGCCTTAAATCCTTCATCTTTCTGCCTCCACTTGTGACGATAGGTGCATAGCACCGGGCCTGGCTGACACCTTTTGTTATGGTGTAACAGTGGTGCTGCTGTGGTTGTTAAAAGAGGGCCTGAGATCCCCACGGGGGAGGGGCACGTCAGATGACCTGGTCAAGTGCTGGGAACTACAACAGCAGTCACATGAGGATACTTTTCACATATTTGAAATGATCCTCAATACAAGAGGAAAAAAAGGGGGGTGGAGTACATGAAGTAGACAGAGTTCCCCCGGGCTTTGTGCTTTGATCCGACACCCCGAGAACTGTCCCAGGCCGGGCGGTGGTGGCGCACGCCTGTAATCCCAGCACTCGGGAGGCAGAGCCAGGCGGATCTTTGTGAGTTCGAGGCCAGCCTGGGCTACAGAGTGAGTTCCAGGAAAGGCGCAAAGCTACACCGAGAAACCCTGTCTCGGAAAACCAACAACAACAACAAAAAGAACTGTCCAGAAATCGAGTGGAAAGCTGCAGTCATTAATGAACCACAGCAGAGGATTAAAGCTGGGGTTTGCAGTAAGGCCAGGGCGGGGCACTCAGGCTTTGTCTGCCAGCTGCCAGTGGGTCGCTGCAGGGCTAACTAGGATTTCAGGGCAAGGCTGTAAAGGGGGCAGTGGGGTGAGGTGTGTAGGAGTGACAGCAGTGAGGGCCTAAGCCAAGTCGGAGAAAGGCGATTAACCTCCTTACACAGTTCCTGTGCCCAGGCTCTCGGGATGCATGCCTCTCTCCGGTCAGTCTCGGCACACAAGCCGTCCCTGTGCCTGCACAGGGGGGGAGTGAGACTGGAGACGACCCAGTGGAGCAAAGCTTCTTCAGAGAAATGGGCGTCACTGGCTTCCTGCCACACAGGGGCACCTCTCCAACCTTAAAATGTGTGGCACGGATGCTGGACAGTCTTACCTTACTATCCAAGTGTGTAGTGAGCAGTTAATCCCACCTCAGGTCAAATACTCACACACTTTTTTGCATTTCTGCGAAAATCCCACACAAAATTCCTAAAGTCAGTCCAAAGCATGTCTAACTCACTGGTTCCTCCCCAGAGGGACACTGGGACCCGCCTGATGTGTACCCTCTAAGACCTTGCCTACGCGCACAATTACATGTATGTCAGAACAGCATGGCTACGTGTGTTGGATGTGTGTTATCATAATCTGTACTGTGGCCTTTCACACTTAAAACCCCACAGTATGTACTATCTCCATGCCTCCATGCTCAGTAACTTCACCACTGAACTACAAATCTCCACATGGTTCTTGAAAGGACACCATATGGAAAGCCAATGGTTAGTGACAGGTCAGTGCATCCAGTATCTCTGGACAGCTCACAGCTATCACAGGCAAAGCTTCCACAGGATGCACTAGAGGCTTCTAAAATGAAATACAGTCAATTTCAACAGACTTGACAGTGGTAAATGTCATTGTCATTCACTTTCTTTCTTAACCTGCCCTCATTTTTTTTAATGGTTTATTTTATGTGCACTGGTGTTTTGCTTACATGTGTGTCTGTGTGAGGGTGTCAGATCCCCTAGAACTGGAGTTACAGACAGTTGTGAGCTGCCATGTGGGTGCTGGGAATCGAACCCGGGTCCTATGGAAGAGCAGTAAGTGCTCTTAAGTGGTGAGCCATCTCTCCAGCCAGCCCCCATCCCACCCCATTTATCCCAGTTTCGTGTGTGTGTGTGTGTGTGTGTGTGTGTGTGTGTGTGTGTGTACATACACTAGAGGCCAGAGAAACAATACTGGGCATTCCTCAGGCACCATCCACCTTGTTTTTTTGGGACAAGTTTCTTACTGGTCTGGAGAATTCATAAAATAGACTAGGCTGGCTGTCCAGTGAGCCCCAGGGATCTCTGTGTTTTTGCCTCCCCAGATTACAAGTGTGTGCCACCACATCTGGCTTTTTCTTCATGTGGCTTCTAGGGATCAAACTCAGGTCTGTGTGCTTGTGACTGAGCTATCCCCCTGGCCCTCATCTTGCAGCTTTTAAGCCATGGGCAGTAGTGACACTATACAGGTTCAAAAAAGTGAATGTGGGGGCCATGAAAAAAGTTTCCAACAGTAAAAACTTTCTGAACACACATCAAAACTAATTCAAATTAAACACATAATGAACCCAGGGTGTTGCCAGCAGTGCTTGGCCTTGTATGTACGAGACCCCAGTTATGAACACACACGTCCATTTGCACTCTGCATGCCACGATGCCACAGAACGCCAATGAGCACTGCCTGTAACACCCGAGGGCAGACTTTTGAAGATGGTAGGGGACATGCTGCAGCTCTGTACTCTAACACAAGGTCTTCTGCTCTTAGACAAACGTAACACGAAAACAAAGGTTTCGCTATTTCTGAATTGTTACTCTGAAGCATGTTTCAAATTAGTGTATCTTTGGATTGGTCTGTGTTGGAATAGTTCACTTAAAAACTTAAATTTGCCCCGGACTTCCCTTCTGGAGCACAGGGATGATAGCTTTAATACAGTTGACATACTACTTTGATTCTGTATTTGTTCCTTGTTAATTTAAGAATGGCTAGAAATCATGTTTGAATATGGGTATGCAGAGAGAAAATATACCCATGGTTACTTATCCTGATTTTTGAAAGTGTTATATTTTTATAATTCTATTAAAAGCTTCTACCTTAAAACAAAAAAAAAACCAAAAAAACAAAACAAACAAACAAACAAAACAAAAAAACACTTAAATTTGTGCCTGGTAGTGGTGGCAAACTTGGGAGGCAGAGGCAGGTGGATCTCTGTGAGTCCGAGGCCAGCCTGGTCTACAGAGCGAGTTTCAGAACAGCCAGGGCTACACAGAGACACCCTGTCTTGAAAATCACCCCCTGAAAAAAAAAATTA